TGTGTTCTGTGGCGTGACTCTCTGCAGCCGTTTATCTGGGCCAGAAGTGCACAGGGAGGAAGGGAGGGACTGCTTCAGGCACCTCATTGACATATTGGAAGACTTGCAGCTGTGTTTTTTACTTGAAATAGTTTTCTTGGGTGGTTTGTGTAACCAACACTAAGGAGTGAGTGCTTTTTCTAATGGAAACATCTGTCTTTGTAAATTATAATTATTGGCTACAACATCATCAGAATACTGGAGACCTGGTGCATGGATTTGTGCACATTGAAAGGAAATTAATTAGAAGGTGGCTAGCGGTGCAGGACTGGGTGAGACGGGCCTGTCTGGTGTCTGTGGAGTGAGCGGGGGTCCCTTTGGCAGGTGGGGTCCCTCAGCCTAGTCTGCAGGGGTCAGGCTAAAACTGGCTCTCCGACATCCCCTGGGGGGTCCAGAGTGCGAGAGGGCACTCTGCAAAGTTGCTGTCGTACAGGATGTGGAACACAAATTCAAGTGTGCAGTGAATCAGATTCCGGGGGACAGAGCCCCAGCAATAGCATAACCCACAGCTGAAGGTGGAATCGCACGACTTGGGAGGAATCAGGCTCCCTCCTCTCTGGTTTTGGGGTGAGTCACCTGAGAACCATCACTGCCAAGTCACTGCAGCTCAGCAGCTCCTGTGTTGAGTGTCTGCCTCCTGCTGGTCAGTGCACGTCATAGCGACCAGTTGGACACAACATATTAGCCTTTTATATATATATGCACGAAATTTGTACATAGGGCGTGGGGGTGGGGGATGGAGGGTGTTCCTCAGCCCAGCCTGCACCCTCTCCAATCTGGGACTCCCTCAAGGGATGTCTAACTGCCAGTTTAGGCCCGATCCCGGTGGGATCGAACATCCCTCTCACATTCCAGGACTGCTGGCTCCTAACTGCTCGCCTGCCTGCCTTCCTGATTGCCCCTAACTGTTTCTGTCTGCCAGCCTGATCACCCCCTAACCACTCCCATGCCAGCCTGATTGATGTCTAACTGTTCTCCTGCCAGCCTGTTTGCCCCCAACTTCCCTCCTCTGCCTACCTGGCCATCCCCAACTGCCCTCCCCAGCAGGGTTGATTGCCTCCAACTGCCCTCCCTTGCAGGCCTAGTCCTTCCTAACTGCCCTTCCCTCCTGGCTATCTTGTGATGGCCATCTTATGTCCACATGGGGGCAGGATCTTTGACCACATGGGAGCAGCCATCTTGTGTGTTGGAGTGATGGTCAATCTGCATATTACTCTTTTATTAGATAAGATATAGGCCTGGTACACGGGTGGGGGCCGTCTGGTTTGCCCTGAAGGGTGTCCCAGGTCAGGGTGGGGATTCCCTTGGGGCGTGACCTGAGTGAGGGGCCTGTGGTGGTTTGCAGGCCGGCCACGACCCCTGGTGACCCAAGTGGAGGCCCTGGTATCTGGGATTTGTTTACCTTCTACAATTGAAACTTTGTAGCCTTAAGTGGAGATTTAGGCTGGCCAGGGCAGGCAGAGAGCTTGGCTTCCTCTGTTGCCTGGGAAACCCAAGCCTCCCTCCTGTTCTCAATGGTTGTAGCCATCTTGGTTGGGTTTATTTGCATACTCGCTCTGATTGGCTGGTGGGCGTGGCTTGTGGGTATAGCAGAGTGATGGTTAATTTGCATGTTACTCTTTTATTAGGTAGGATATAGATTAGCCCTGTCATCGAGATTTTGTGGCTGTTTCTTAGGGATGTAAAGATTTGTTTCCAAGAGGGCTTACCAGTTGGAAATGGCCACAGGGGAGTCGGATGTTGTTGCTGGAATGCTTTTCTGTGTTTGTGCAGCCTGGTGTCGGGCTGTCAGGAGCTCCCCCCCCCTCCCCAGAGGGAGAAGGGAGGGGCAGCACTGGGGCCAGGTGGTGATGGCTGATGCTGTCTGTGGTTTGTTTGCTCTCCCAGACAAGCTTATTGGAGGAAACTTCACTCACATACTCATAAACTTCATCCAAGCTGTTAGTGGAAGGCCGGCTGCTGTTCTGCTGCGGACCCCAGGGCTCCCCCTGTGCGTGGGGGGAGTGACCTGCCTGGGGGTAGGGAGGAGACAGGCTGGAGACTAGGCAGGCGGTCAGGGCAGGCCATGGACCGCTCTCAACTCCAGACTCCTCCTTACTCATCCACTCACCTGCTTCTGGAACTCCCCGGGAGCTAGTCTGCAGAAGAGGAGCAGATGGTGTCATAGCAAACTCCCTTCAGGGGGAGACTGCTGAAGGGACAGCAAGCAGGAGGTCCCAGCCAGGTTCTGGGCCGGGAGCGCTGGCGGCCTGTGGGCCCTGCTGGTGGCCAGCTGCGATGGAGGACCTGTCCTTCCCGGCAGGCAGGGGAACCCGGCACCACACTCAGCGGCCTGGGTGCCGGTCTCGGTGTCTACCCGTGACTGCACTCCCAGTGTTGACTGAATAAAGGAACAGGATACTAAAGTATTTTCTAAGGGAATGTCCTAGTGACAACTGTACTCAGCTATTTCTGAGTGGCGGTAAGGTAACCAGGCAAACTAAATTGTTATTTATTAACACATTCCATGCAAACAGAACGATATCACAGTTTGATGGCACTTTATTAGGCTGAGAGCACAGAGGAGAGCAGTCCTTCCCTGGACAGGAGTGCTGCTCTCTGTCCTTAGGGCGCCTCTTTTCCCATTTATCTCCTCTTCTGTAGCTTCTAGGTAGCTGAAGCACCTTCCCGCTGGGGATGTGTTTGCAGTCTCCTCTGCCTGTGGGGGGTGACTTTGCTCAATGGGCTCCCTCCCAACCCGGGTCTGTGTCGGTTTCTGGACTGTTCCGTATTGGAACTGTTTGCAATTGTTTTTTGACGATTCTCAGAGAAACTGGTGCTTCCGTGGGTCCATAGGTGTCCAAGTTTTATTCTCATCACGAATGACACACAACTAGTCGTTTAGCAAAACGCTGACGTCCCCTGGGGGTACTGGCCTTCCTGGTCTGACGGGCTCTGTCAGGGAGAGCCTTGGCCGAGCGGCAGTTTGGCGATGGACACAGACCGGGACGGGAAACCTGCCGTGACGGCAGTGGTGGGAACGTCTCTGAGTCCTGGGATAGAACTGACCCTGCAGTGAAAACGTGAATGTGTGTAACTGACCATTGGAGGGTTTTCCTACAGTGTTTCTGGGGCCTCCGAGAGGCCGGTGGAAGACCCTACTGACCTCAGAGTGGGCGTGGAGGCGAGGCTGGGGGAGGGAGCGGAATCGGGGCATGGGGAGTGCGAGCGCACACAGTTCGTGGCTCAGGAGCTGCTTCCACGTGCGTTGTTCCGTGTGGAGGTTCAGGGTCGCCCGTGTGACACGGAGCTAGGGAGGGGGATGTTTAGAGAGCTGGCTGGACAGGCCGCTGTGTGAGGTGGGGCGCCCGGAGCGGACCCCTCCATGTGGCTCCCATTGCCAATCCCCCCTGTGATAAGCCCTCCCTGCACCCAGAACCGGTGCCTCCGTGCTCTCTCCTAAACCTTTGGCTGTGGCTTCTCTGGGCCCCATGGTCAGACAGAGCAGAGTTGGGATAGAAATGTGCTGCACTCTCACTTTCTGGGGCAGTTTCCTGTCATTTATACAGTTAACCCTGTTCTAACTCTCACTTTCCACACTTCTCTTCTCGTCAGTCTGTCACGTCCTGGTGGTCAGTGAAGTGTAGCTGGTGGACTGGGAAAGTCGAGGAAGCCAACGGGAGGGCTTTGAGCCTCTGCTAGGGCAAAGGCGTGGCATCTGAGAGTGTGGGAGGCCACCAGGCAGCACCGAGGAAGGACACGGCCTGACATGGCCGGAATGAGGCCTGTGGAGATGGGCTGACTGGGTCTTGGGAGTGGGAGGGGGAAGAGGGGCAGTTTCCTGTTGTTTATACAGTTAACCCCATTCTAACTCCCACTTTCCACACAGGATTCGCATTAGTCTGGAGCCCAAACTGACCCCAGTACAGGGCCCTGCCCCGCCGTGACCCGGAGGGTGTGACCCTCCCAGAGTCTGGTTCTACATCAGGGCCTGTGATGCATGTGCATTTCACCCAGGGAACTGGTCTAGTGATGAAAAGGAAAGAGCACCCCACAGTGCCTGCTGCACAACGCCCTCTGCTGGCTGGGTTGCAGTGTCGTTTTCTCTGGAGGAAGTTTTGAGAACAGTCCACATTGGACAGCTGAATGTGGGCATGTGGTTTATACTGGGAACTAGCCACAGTCCATTCTGCAGAGTGCGTTTACTCACATGCACGCAGGAAAGGCTGCATCCCCTGTGCTGCTGGAGTCGTCTCCTTGACCTCGGCTGGCCGGACTCGGACAGACAGGCAGGGACTGGCACTACTGGCCCTCAGTGGGCCTGGATTTAGAGCTGGATTTGTCACTTAAACCGTGTGCGTTTTAATGACCAGATCTTGAAAATAGGACTTAATAGCACCTACTGAACTGGGCTGTTGTGAAGACGTATTGGAACAGTTCACGCCCATGGACCTCCACTTGCTGGAGAATCAATATATGTTGGCTGTTACTAACGGCAGCGACGCTGCAGCCATTATCTTCCCCATGAGGCGAGTGAGGCAAAGAGCAATCGTACACAACTCGTCCCAAGTCACTAATTACATCTGAAGACAGGTCCCCTGCCTCTCACTTCCTGCCTGGGATGTTTAGGGGAATGAAACGTTTTAAAAATGGTGAATTGCTCTGACTGGTGTATGGAGGGTCATCCCATACACCAGAAGGTTGTGGGTTCCATTCCTGGCAAGGGCACAGAGCTAGGTTGCCAGTTTGGTCCCCAGTGGGGCATGCATGGGAGGCAACCATGTCTTGCCCCCTTCGCCTGCTCCATCTCCCCCTTCCTCCTATCCCTCCTCCCTTCCTCTCTCTCTAAAATCAATGAAAACATCTTTAATGTTGAGGATTAAAAAAAAAGTGAATTGTCTTTTTCATTTATTAGTGTTATAGAAAGTGGATCTTTTCAGAATGCTGTTTTTCAACAAATGTATAATTTTGTTTTCCTTTAGGATTTGGAGTTCCATGGAGTGATGAGGTTTTATTTTCAAGATAAAGCTGCTGGGAATTTTGCAACAAAATGTATCCGGGTCTCCAGCACGGCCACCACGCAGGACGTCATCGAGACGCTGGCCGAGAAGTTCCGGCCTGACATGCGCATGCTGTCCTCCCCCAAGTACTCGCTCTACGAAGTGCACGTCAGTGGAGGTCAGTGTCCCCATCCCTGCCAGCGTGCGGCCCCTTTCCCCCTCCCCAAGTCCTCTTGCTTCCTCCGGAAAGGCCTGGGGAGCAGGGGCGGTGGCAGACTTCTGTGTGTGTGGGAAAGGCTCTGTGCGTCCCCAGCACGTGTTTGTTGGGGAGTGGAATGAATCTGGGGTCACAGACAGCGATGACGGTGTGCTGCTTGCTCCTGGAGAAAGAGTTGGCGTAACCCTATGCCTGGACGGTAACAGCACAGCTGATGGCAACCCGGCTACAGGGTGAGAGGGCCGTCAGTCTTCCTGTAGGTGTGTGATGTGAACAGCACATTCGCATCACTGTTTGGGGAAGTCATGGCAACTTGAAGAAGCTCTCTCTAGTAATTTCTCTTTGTTTTAATATTTGAAAAATCTGAAAACATCCCATAGATCTACATCAAATAACAGTTTAAATTGGACTGATTAGAAGTGTAGAAATTTACAAATTTGAATGTTTTAGAAATGTTCCGTCATCTGTAAAAGATGTAATTAATGCAGCAAATAAATGATTGCATATAACACAACCTAATATGAATACTTGTTAAGTTCTACCCTCAAATCCTTTTTAATTTTTTGTTTTGTTTTTACTTTAAAAAATACAGCTTTCTTTGTAAATTTTAAATTAGGCAAAAATTTTTTGTAATGTGTGGAATTCAAGTATGGCCAAACATTTCCCCTGCAGCGGTATGTAATTTAGGCCATTGTTATTTATTACTTTTTAAATACATTTTTATTGATGTCAGAGAGGAAGGGAGAGGGAGAGAGAGAAACATCAGTGATGAGAGAGAATCATGGATCGGCTGCCTCTAGCACACCCCACAGTGGGGATGGAGCCCGCAACCCAGGCATATGCCTTGACCGGGAATCAAACCCTGACCTCCTGGTTCAGAGGTCGACGCTCACTGAGCTGTGCCAGCAGCTGTTTATCACTCCTTTAAGGTTACGGGGTCTCGCCTACATAAGCAGTGCCAGCCCTGAGTGTGAAGAAGGACAGCTGCTGGTGGAGCTCAGTGTGGCTGTGTCCGAGAGGGAATTGCTTTGCTGCGACTTTGTAGGGGAGAGGAAGACAGCTAGCCTCTGCCTCCCGGTCTGCCCGCGCTGGCGGGTCCACGGAAGCCGCCAGGTGGAGTCTTGACGATCATAGGATGCAAGATGGGAATTGAGATCTAAAAGCAGAACTTTTAAAATTTGATTTTTAAAAAAAGAACCGTTTCCCTTTAGATTTTTAAAATTAGATTTGTTTTTAGTAAAAAGTAAAATGTATTACTTGTAAGGATGTGAAAACCATAGAGGTGTAAACAAAAAAGGAAATGGTCTCTCCCCAGGTCATGGAGCCGAGGGGAGGGGGTGGGAGGGGTCAGGCAGTTTTTAATGGCACCCCGTGGCCTAAGGTAATGCCTAGCATCCTGTTTTATTGAGTAGCTGGATTTAGACAAATTAGTGAGTGTTTATGCTCTGACAACTTTGTGGCTGTGTAAAGAAGAAATAAGCATGAACTGGAGGAAAAACTAAGCTCATTTCATTCTTAGTCACAGTTACTTCCTCAGGAGAGAGGAAAGGGATTCTACAGTATCTAAGGAGTATGGACACCTTGAAGACAGGCACTGCCTACAGTGAGGACACACGTGCACTCGGGGCGCCAGGGCACGTGTGCGCTCGGCTCCTCACCTGGTTCTGTTTGCTTTTATGGCTTAGACGTGATTGTTCTTGCTGTCAGTCTCTAAACATGCAGCGTGAAGGGTTTTTATCTAGTGCAAACTTTACAACAACATCAGGGTAATTTCAATTTGTAGCAGGAATTTCAGACTTTTTCATCCAGTTGTTGCTCTATCACTGTTTTTTATTTCTCGTGTTTTCAGTTGATAAAACAATAACTTAGAATTAGCTGTGCTACATTACCGTGGGCATATTCTGTTTGCGAAGTGCCTCGGTAGGTCTGCTTATGTTTCACGTTTGTGCTGCCCCCCTGCTGTCCTGACCACAGTAGGTGCCTCCCTCTTTGCTGCCTCATTGAGCACACCTGTGCTCATTGCCTGTTGGCCTGGGCCACCTGGAGGCTCCTGTTGGGTGGCCTCTGCAGAGGCCTCAGTGGCCGCCTTCTCCCTGCTCATTGAGCCCGATGCTCACTAGGTCCCTAAAGAGGAAGGGAGACGGACACTGAACTGAGCACTTTATCCCGACAAAGAAAAGGAGGCAGAAGCTTGTGGGGGAAGCGGATCTGAGGGTTGAGGGTGGTGAGGTTTGGAGACGAGGGTCAGCGGTACAGAGGGAGCAAGAAGAGCAACCGCTTCCACGCCTGAAGGTGCCATTTCCTGAAGCACAATGCTAACGCGGGAGGAAGAGCCTCAGCACTGATGGGACTTGTGTGTGTGTTAGCACTTCCTTCCTGTTGCCCCTGGGGTACTTCCATTTCCAGAAGCAGGCTTGTCTGGCAGGTTCTAGAAGCGGTGTGCTTCCTCCCTGGCACGTGTCTTGTTTTCCTGGTTACGTTCTGCATGTGGGAACTTTGCAACAAAATGTATCCGGGTCTGCAGGCCACCACGCAGGACGTCATCAAGACGGTGTGCGCTGGATGCGTGGTGGGTGCAGACAGGGGCACGGAGGCAGGAGAGCTCGCTGAGCGTTCACATTGCGTTCCAGTGTGTCCGTGAGGCCTCGCAGGGATACTTGATGTCCATAAAATTAAACGCGTCGCAAGTGTCGGGTTCGCCCCTGCCATCTGGTAACCATGCGTCCCTTTTCCTCGTTTCATGTTTTGAAGAAGAAAGAAGATTGGATGTGGACGAGAAGCCCCTGGTGGTGCAGTTGAACTGGAATAAAGATGACCGTGAAGGCAGGTTTGTCCTGAAGAACGAGAACGACGCCGCTCCTCTCAAGGTAGGCTGCGCTTCCCGCCTCCTTTCCACAGTGACCCCTGTCTCCCCCTATGTCATGTACACATTGTCACGCCCGCCGGCAGGCCAGGCTATAAGAAAGAATGAACAAGCAGGTTAGCAAGATCTAGAAAGAAATTGGAAGTTTTTGCTCAAACTATCCTTACAACTTAGCTTTACAAAAGCCAGCTTATTACAGCTGCTTTACTTCTTTTGAAGTTATTAATACTATAAAGTGGATAATGATTTAAATGCTTAGTTATTTCTATATTTTTATTAGGTTTCTTTTATTCAAATAACTCTGTGTAAATTATTTGTATTTTTACTTACTGAAAATCAGAGTTCATGATTCTCATCCCAGTTTTCCTACTGGATATGCCTGCTTGCTTGCTTAGCTGTTTTGAGTTGTGGTAAAGTTACACACAGTGAAATGCAGACAGTGCACGTGTAAGTCATTAAGATTTGATGACTGCCCTCCTGGAGCGGTCACTCAGTGGACTGGAGAGCACTCCCGCCGTGGCCCTGGCTATGCCTCGGCGCGTGGAGGAGCTGGGTTCAGCCTCGGGGAGCTTGCCGTGGTTCCGTCGTGGCTGGCGTAGTGATCATACCCCTTCTGTCAGAAGGCTCAGAGCAATGGACCTGAGAAGCAGGAAAGAGAAGGCGTCATCCAGAACTTCAAGCGGACTCTCTCGAAGAAAGAAAAGAAGGAGAAAAAGAAGCGAGAAAAAGAGGCACTGAGACAGGCGCCCGACAGAGAGGACGGACCTTTCCGAGGGGATGACGTGTGAGTCACGTGGGAAACACTCGCGTTTCTGGAGCCAGGTGTTTGATTGCGGCGGCTGTCAGGTCAGAGGTGACTGTGGGCTAGCAGGGCTCTTCTGCACTGAGCTGCTTGCTGGCAACACTGTCTCTTCCTGAGCGTGCTCAGGAGCAAGCCGGCCGGCCCACTGCTGTTCTTCCTGATGGACCACGGCTGTCCACGTCTTCTCTTCACCTTCCCCCGGCCCACCTTTCCTATCTGCTTGTGGGGTCCTTTAGGCAACAGCGATTTCTTATGTGCCTCAGATTCCTTACCACAAACTTAGAGTTGTCACAAGCAGCAAGAGCAGCCCCAGTTCCTTAAAGGGCCACCAGCACCAACACACACACACACACACACACACACACACACACTGAGTAGCCAGATTATTATGTGTTCAGAGATTATAATAATCTGGCCACTCAGTGTAGCTTCCAGAAGGTGAATGTTGGTGAACCTTTCAGTTGTTAAAAATGTGTAGTCTGTCTTATTTCTTGGGGTTGGGATGTTGTGTCACTCATGTGATCTGTTTTAGGGTAACATGGATGAAAATTGCTGAGATGTATAATTTACACATTTTCCTTTGAGCTTTGTTAAAGCATAATAATTAAACATAAACTCACTATAGGATTTGAATTGTAAGTTTCTGCTTAGTTTGGTCTATTAGTTTGTACTGAGAAAGTGCTCTCTATCCACATTAGCTGTGGCTGCGTGGTGGGCGGTGCAGGGCAGCCCGCACACAGCTGCCATCCCAGTGCGGCATGGTCACAATGTCACAGGTTCTGACACAGAAGTTTTAAGTGGTGTCGTGTCCTTCTTCCCGACAGTGAGAATTCTCGCCTGGCTGCTGAGGTTTACAAAGACATGCCGGAAACCAGCTTCACCCGCACCATCTCCAACCCCGAGGTGGTCATGAAGCGGCGGCGGCAGCAGAAGCTGGAGAAGAGGATGCAGGAGTTCCGCAGCTCGGACGGGCGGCCGGACTCAGGTCAGGCTTCCTGCTCCCCCTGCTGGTGTAATCAAGTTAGTAACCACACTGTCTGAGGCAGAGACCTTGCGAAGTGAGTTAACGGGGACGTGGCTGTTCACAATGAGTGTCGTGTCTGGCCCTGACTCAGTGTGGCTCCCGAGTAAGAGCTCTGTTCACAGAGAGCGTTCCCTGCACCGCCAGCCAATCCATGTGCTTCTCCTTCCTTCCCTTCCCCTCTCTCCAGAAATAATGGAGAAATATCCTCAGGTGAGGATTAACAAAAGAAAAAGAAAAAGGAAGGTGGTCAAAGGTTTTTAAAAGAGCAAGAAGAACGCTCATTAATACCTGTCGTGTGCCAACCACGTTCCAGACCTAAAGGGACTCTATGTCATGGATATGATGATGAGCTGCTGAAGAGAGTCAGCGGCATTCAGGAAGCTTTTCATGTCACTTAAGCTTCAAATTTAGAGCAGCTGGTGTGAACACAGCGGGAGAGAGGACGTGGTGGCACACCCTGTGAAGGCGGCCACTCGGAGGCCTGGTCTCTGGGCTCCTGACCAGTGTGGACTCTGCAGAGGGGCCTTTACCAGTCCTGGGGCTTGGACGGCCACAGTCGCTCTCCCTCACCACTTGCTTGTGCTGTTCAGGGCATGCACCACTGTCTCAAGTTACTTGTTTTTGTGTTGGTCACCCTCCCCGGCACCTCCTCACAACTGGAATGCGAGGCAAGCACACTCACCTGGTGATCGCCGTGGCCTCGGCCTTGGGCAGTGGGGCCGGATTGGCGTGAGTGTGCATGGCCACACGTATTGACAGCCTGAGCCAGCAGGTCTGTGGTCCAGGACACTGCGGTTTCTGTAAGGACCTAGTGTTTTTACTGTGAGTCAATTTGTCACATGGCAGTTTGATCATAAGTAGAACTCACACTGACACCAGAACTAGATCTCTGTAGAATTCCATTAAAAATACACAGACAACAACGAAACCTCAGGAAACCACGTTACTCTGTCCACGCTGGTTTTTCCTCCCAAGTTAGCTCACAGCTGGACAGGATGCCGGGCCCGTGCTTCGGCGGCAGGTCCGGTCTGAAACTAGCGTCTAGTTCAGTCTTAGAATGATTTGTTCAGCGGGGTTCATATTAACTTTATCTGGCTTTTTAATTTATCTCGGGTTGATGGTGAGAAGAGAGAGACAGTGGGGATGGATGGATGACAACGGGGAGGTGAGGACCTGGGAGAACCCTTGAGGAAACAGCAGGATTGTCGACTGGCTTCCTCCTCGCTCCGTCCCTTGTCCCCACAGGAATCCATTCACTGTCATGAAAGCCCGCTGGCTGGGGGAGGCCGGGCGGGCTCTGTCCCACAGGACACTTGCTGAGGCAGTCGCTAGATTGTGTGCCCTTCAGTAGGACATGAAGATGGGACTGTGCCCATTCCGTCTGCACCCATCGCAGCGAGAACGTGGGTACCCTTGTCTTGGGCTACTGCAGACGCCCGCTGCCTGCTGGAGCGACGCCGTGCTCAGAGACATCTGATGTTTTCCAGGTGGAACGTTGAGGATTTATGCGGATAGTTTACGACCAAATATCCCCTACAAGACGATCCTGCTGTCCACCACGGACCCTGCGGGCTTTGCGGTGGCCGAAGCTCTGGAGAAGTACGGCCTGGAGAAGGAGAACCCGAAGGACTACTGCATTGCCAGGGTGAGTGGCTGCTGGCAGCGCCGCCCAGTGGTGCCAGGAGGACTTGGCCTTCAGTGAACATGCCCCTGGGCTGACTCCTTCCACTGTGTAATTTAGAAACTGAAAACCATGTGTTAAAGCCATAGGTGAACCTTCTCTCTTCCAGCACACAAGCAATCCAGGCTCCTGTATAAAGTGAGGAAAGTATAAGAAGACAGATTGGGAATAAAGATCACCCATAATTCTGTCGATGGCTAGCCACTGTTAACATTTGCTATATGTCCTTACAATTGTTCTTTTGCCTGCACAGGTATAGTGTTTGCTTTCACAGGGTCTCTGTTTGCCCCCAGACAATGACCTCTCTTTAAATGCCTGTTGATTTACCTTTGAAAGGCAGTCACAGTGATGGCTCTGTTTCAGGTTATGCTCCCCCCTGGAGCCCAGCATTCTGACGAGAAAGGCGCTAAGGAAATGGTCCTGGATGATGACGAGTGTCCCCTGCAGATCTTCCGGGAGTGGCCCAGCGACCGAGGTGAGTGCAGCGGGCATGCCCCTGCTGAGCCGCTGGCTCAGTCTCTGGCTGTAGGGGAGCCCCTAGAGGGTCTGGCAGAGCTCCCCAAGGGCTATTTGTGGGGTGGTGTTCTCTGCCCCCCCTGGTCCCTTTGTTCGAGGCCACGCTCAGCGGCTCGTGTGCAAACCTGGAACAGATGGTTCCCCTCCAGTCGGCGTGTCTTGTCTTAAAGAAGCTGGGCCTCGCGTGGAAGGTCTTGGTCCTGTCAGCAGTGGGGTCCCGTCATCTGTGGAGTCCCACGGTGCCTCCCAGATGACTGGGTGGATGGGCAGATGTGTTTGCATAGGGAAAGCGACCTGCCACCTACAGGCTGTCCAGCGATCAGTTATTTAAGAAACGAGCCTGGGCTTTTCACTCCGCAGGCCGGTTGCTCCAATTACCCCAGAGCAGTGAACAAGTCCTCTGTGCTTTGAGGGAACCAGTTTTCTTGCTCTCAGTTCACGTCATACACTCACTGCTGTGTAGATGATCTTTGCCTTAATAAATACATAAAGATTGATTGCCAGTCAACCCTGGCAATGCTTGAATGTTGGTAGTTTTAAAAGTACACTTGCTTAATACTTTTTCTAGACATATAGTAAACTTGATTCAAGGAAAATTTCTTTGACTTCTGAGTTAAGTCAGTTGAACGAAATAAAAATCAGGTCAACTAAATAGATGTTTGTATATGTTTGTGTCTACTTGTGTTATATGTGTGTGTGTGAATGTATTTGTTTACGAATACAAACATTCATTCATTCTTAGACTGATGTGTTGTTTTTCAAGGATGCAATGTGCTTGGGTCGTTGTTAATGTAAGATAACCTTTGCAGCTTGGCTGCTAGAGTTTCAGAACACATCGAGAGACTGTGACTGTCTCTGTTGAGTAGCAGCGCACATGGGTAAGCTTTCACGCAGCTTGCCTGGGGAAATGTCACAGGTGACATTTTCCGGATAAATCTTTTGTCAGCTGGCCGCCTATACTCCCGTGCATCTGGTTCACGACTGGCACTGCTTCTGTTCCAGGGGTTTTAGTCTTCCAGTTGAAGAGGAGGCCCCCAGACTATGTGCCCAGGAAAACCAAGAAGCACCTGGATGGGCGGCCCGCGAAGGGCAAGGAGAGAGCCGACGGGGCGGGCTACGGCTCCGCACTGCCGCCCGAGAAGCTGCCCTACCTTGTGGAGCTGAGCCCAGGTGAGGCCCAGATAACTTTCTTTTGTAAAGGAGTCTTTCTCTTGCCTGACAGCCTGTTTCAATCCATTTATTTTTCTAAAAAATAACCCACATAAGATGACATTTACTTTAAAAACACAAACCTTAAGGTCGTAAGGTATTTATTTCTCATGCATAAAAGTAAAGTTCACATAGTGGTGGAGAAAGCCAAAAGTTAAAATAGTGACAGTAGAGGATGAAGAGGAGGTTTAATTGATCTCCGTTAAATTCTTTCTGTTCACAATGACCTTGTGAAGCCCTTCCTCAGCCTGGATAGGCTTCTCCGAGGCAGGCTCAGGAAGGCCGGCGCTCAGCTCTGCTCGGTGTAGAGCCGTGTCTGAAAGAAGGTCCGTAAGCCCAACAGTGAGGGGAGAAATGGCCTGTGAGAGGGAGGGTGTCTGGTTTCAAAATGAGAGTAGACTAAGTTTGTTTTCCTGTTAGGTTGAGAACATTTGTGCCAAAGCCAATGTAAAGGAGCCTTCAGGCAGAGAAATACATTGATGTTCTTAAACGTTTTACATACATATCCCTACGCAGGATATATGTTTGCATATGTGATACACCGGGCATGTTAATGACTTAGATACACCATCCACGTTGATGTGGTCAGGTCTGCATGTGGCCTGTGTTACAGTGTGCTGTAGAGACAGCCTGTTGCTCCTACTCCCTCCCCTCTCCCCCCCCAGGACCGCAAAACCACGGGCTGTTAGCGAGCCCAGCAAAGGGAGCTGGGAGCCTGGCTGTGCCGTTACACAGGCAGCGTGGTTCTCTGGGCAGGTTTCCTGTCATTCTCTCTATGATTCTTGCGTATTTGTTTGCTTGCAAGGTTACGACTGCTGGTTAGATACCGTGCGTTGGTCCAGCAGTCGGATGGCACAGCCAGCGGCATCGGTGCTATAGAAATGATGTTCCTTTGCCCAGTGCTAGCAGGCGACGCTCGTTAGCAGATGATGCTCGGTGGCAATTTGCTGCAGGTCCTGGTTTATGCTGAGATGTTGGAGGGTTTTTACTCCATCAGCTGCTTCTGAGGAAGGGGTTATGTTATTGTGTCCCTCAGTTCTCTGGCTGAAAGTCTGCATAAGTGTTGGTTGCTCGCTGTGGTTTGGACACATCCCAGTATCAATGTGCGCCTGTAGTTGGGGTGCCCTGTAGTTGGGGTGCACCTGTAGTTGGGGTGTTCCTGTAGTTGGGGTGTCCCTGTAGTTGGGGTGTTCCTGTAGTTGGGATGCGCCTGTAGTTGGGGGTCGCCTGTAGTTGGGGTGTGTCTGTAGTTTGTGTGTGGATGGCGCCTGGAGTCGGAGGCAGTGGCTAGCAACTGTGAGATGGCCATTTATTTCTGAACTTAACATTTTTTAGTTAAGATCTTTGAGCATTGGGTCTGTTCTTTAAAGTTTTGCATTACATGCTAGAAATTAATGATTGTTTTGAGGATTTAGAAGTATTAGTTCAGAGAGAATTGATAAATAGCAGTCGACAGAGTATTTTCAAATGAGTAAGGGAAAGTTGATTTGGGTGGTAGCAGAGACAGCTGAGAACGCATTCACGCACTGATTTGGCTAATAGTTATTGAATCCTCATTATATGTCATCTTCTGGGCCTTAGAGATGGAGCCCCGACAACACAGATTAAGCCCTGATTTCAGGAACTTACATTCTAGTGAGAATCGCTGTTCTGACCGCTTATTTCATGTATGGCCTCCCCGGTGATGAAAATACATTAACAGTTTTTGTAGGTGTGGCAAGTGGTAGAGACTAGATAACTATTACGTCTGTGCTACTTTCCAACAAATATTGGCAACAGCACATACTGCATGCCGGCGACTGCGTGTCCTCTGTCTGCGGCCTCCTGCTACGTTGGCCAGTCACCGGCTAATGCTTTAGGCTGAGCAGGGCTTTCCGAGGTGAGTAGGCTGCTCCTGCCGTTGAGTGATGGTTCCCGAGAGCTGCTCGTGAGGCCCTGTGGTGAGGCCTGCGTGCGTTGGTCAGACGTCCCTCCTGTTGGGTAGCCTTCTTGTCTGACAAATGCCCGGGCCTCTGACCTGCGAGCAAGTGCTGGGCTGACCTGAATACGGGAACCTGGCTCTCCCCAGGAGCACCCCCTGCGGCTCTGAGTTTTCATTCTAAGAGCAGCGTGCTGAGTGAAATGGGAGGGTTCCTGGCCACGCATGCCGTGGATCCATGTTGACTTGTCATGGATGGATAAGAATGTATTTCCCCTGGACACGCTGTCACACCGGCCTGTCCGCCGCCGGCTGAGTGCCTGAGGTGTGTGAGGTGTGAGGTGCGGTGTGGCTCACACTGTCTCTGGAGAAGGGGGCTCACGAGTCCTGGAGGCTTTGCTGGGTCTGACTGTGTTCTTTCAACAGAAGACTGCGGGGGCACTCCACTGCCTCCCTCCCTCCTCCTCCCGGCGGTGACTCACCTGTCCTCACGGTGTCTCCTGCACCGTCCGTGTCTCACATGCGGCCGGCCGGGCCTGTCGTCTGTCCTCGTCCTGGCGGTGGTGGGTGGGCCTTTCCTCCGGGCGAGGCTCTCCCCCAGCTCACTTCCTGTCTCTCCCTCTCCACATGCCCGCATGGCCTCCGCTGCGCTGCCTTCACCTGGGTCCTCGCATGCGCACCCCAGGGAGAAGGAACCACTTTGCCTACTGCGGCTCTCACGCTCACGAAGGTAACGCTGCTCCTGCTCGGCCGAGCCCACAGCCTCGTGTGTGCGTGTTGGTATCGAGTTGGTGTGAATGACGGACTCTAAGACTCTTAACGTGCTGTCACTAATGAGCTTCCATACCCAGAGTTCGTTAAAGATAACGGAAACTGATTTGCAAAAAGGTCCAATTCCTTTACCAGACTGACCTAAGTGAGAATTAAAGAAGAGAGAGGGTGGTCTCCCCTCTGTCCGCCCAAGAATTAGGGGAAGAGCAGGCGCAGAGGGAGAGCATGGGAATAGTGAGGGGGAGGAAGAGACGGTGAGAGAGAGAGGCCGCCAGCAGGAGGGAGGAGAGCTCTGTCAGCCCTGTCCACATGGGGAGCAGTGCTGGTGATGGGGGAGTGTCTGGGGTCAAAGGCTGTGGGCGCGAGACTGCGGGGGCTGCAGGGGAGACCAGCCCTGCGCTGGGAGCTGCCACTGCAGCGGAGGCGTGCAGGGCTCCTTGTTCTCCGGGCGCCCCCACCCGTTGTCGGCCAGCAGTGCCTCCCGGGACTGTGCTCCGGCTTGGTCATCTCAGATGTGCAGCTCGTGGTGGGTTCCATGGAAACACTTCGCTCTTACCTGCTTTTCTACTTTCAGTATTTTTCACGTGTTAAGATTAACAGTCAGATACTTTACGTGCTTTGTGAAGTTTATTTACCTTTCACCATCTTAATTTAGTTTAATTTTCTCTCTCCAAACTGATCATACAGATTGTCTTTAGATATTAGACAGACTTGGAGTTTGGCTTTTGTGTCTTTAAAAATGTAAACAGGTGGTATTCTTTTTACCTGTTTCGATATTTATGTACACATGGGAGAGGCTTGGGCGTGTTTTGTTACATTACTCTCCAAAGGTTCCGTGGTGACTCCCCGTGTTTGTGAATGTTAATCTGAAGCGAGGGCACGCAGAGGCCTTCCCTCCCGGCTCGCACACAGTGCGTGGAGGGCGTCTGCAGCTCAGCCCCACGCGCTGGTTCTCGCGCCCGCGCTCTCGAGGAGGTCCTTTCCCCGCGGAGCCAGAAGGAGCCGGAGGTGGAGTCCTTCCAGCGGCTTCACAGCCCGCAGTGTCTCGGCGGCCGTGTTGGCTCACGTGTGAGCTCTGCTCCCTTGCTCCTGGGTCCCCTGCCACACCCCGCACAGAGCCTGCGACGCCGCTCAGGGGAGCCGTGGATGGAAACACGTGTTCCCGTCTGCCCGTGATGGGCTTCGTTAAGAGGGAGCATGCTAACGAGGACGTACTGCTACAGACAAGGCGCAGCACGTGTGGTAGTAACTCAGGAGCCTCAGGTTGGCAAATAAAACCCCGACACCCAGATACATTGGATTTCAGGTAAAACATCAGATACTGACATGTGACTGGATGTCGTGTCTGTCATTTGACAACCTTAAATCGCATTCTAACGTTTCTGCTGCCCAAAAAGGAGAAAGAGGAGCCTGTTTCCTCTGTGGAATGACAGCTGCGTGAAACCGCTGGTGGAAGGAAGCCTGGCTCTGGGCGAGGCGGGCGGAGGGAGGGCACTCACTGGGCGCCACCTGGGCCCTTCCCATTGGAACCACGTGCACATACCACCTGTTCTCCAGACAGAATTACCAGCGAGCAGATCGCAGACGTCCTGGTAAAGCCCTGCTGGGGGGCAGGCTCTGAGAGGCCTTTACCGAGGGCACAGCGCGGAGGGCCTGGGGCGGGGGCGCTGGACTCCGTGAGAGGACAGCGTGTGTGGCTGCCGTGAGGGTCGGCACCCTTGGGCCAAGAGATGGCCATGCTGTTCGGGAGGAAAAGTGCACTGCTAGAGCTTTCGTGCCCCGTCCTCTCTTCCTCCCCGAAAGTACACTCACCATGTAGCTGGGAGTCCGTGGCCACCGTTTCGGGGGCGCAGAACCTGTGTGTGGAGGTGCTTGCTGTGCTGCTGTTACTGCGAAGTGGGCGGGAAGGCGCGGCTGGGAGAGAAGGTGCTTCCTTCTCTGTGGCTCTGACTGCTGCTGGGAAGTGGCTGTGGAGAGGGTGATGGCCATTAGCTCACGCCACTCCTTCAGGAGCATGTCAGGAGTCTGTCACCCCAAGTGGACGCATTTTTCATGTTCTTTATTTTTTTCACTTTATACTGAAATAATTGTTGATCAGTTACTTGCTTTTGTTTTCTTTATTTTTTAATTGCTGTGTGGCCATATTGCATTACTCTGTTTTTCATTTTTAGTTAATAATTACTGTTAACATTAAATCTTTATTAAATGCATACTGTGGATCAGACACTGCTGAGCGCCAGGATAGAGAGGTTTCTCCAAAGAGCTAGCCTGCAGGGAGCTCAGAGCAGGGAGGCCAGGCAATAGGAAGGAGGGAGGGAGGGAGGGACAGGGACCCGGCACCTGGTGTCTGCCGCAAGCAGGGCATCGCCGTGCGGGGGCGCTGGACTCCGTGGGGCTGGAGCGGGGGCCGGTCCAGGGAACACCCAGGCGGTGCTGATGCCTCCTTTTGGATCGGGACTTGGAGCTGCCACCTGTCAGGTGAGGGTGGCCCCGCCGTGAACAAGCATGGACGCCCAGTTCCCAGCGCACTTTAGACCTGGGTCTCGGTGCCGCTCCAGCCTCTCCTGCCTTGCTGGATTTCAGACCTCTGCTCTGCTTCAGAGATGCAGGTTCTATTGGGGTATTACCGTGCACACTCCAAGTCACAGCGGCTCTCACAGGGCTGGGATAGGCCCGGCGTCCTGTGTCCAAGAGCTGAGACCACACCACAGCCTAAAGCCAGTGTGCATTCCAGATGTTTAACTCCAGACGCCTCCCAGCTGGTGTCCCCGATCCAGCGTCTGGAGATCTGAGCTGGCGACTTAGGAAGAGGCCTGAGGGCATTCGTGCAGTCGGTCGCATGGCTCCTGGCCTGCTAGGGAGACTGCATGGCAGATGGATGAGACTGGGCTACCTCCACGGCCAACTCTGCTGGGACCTGCTGGTCCTTTGGGGCATGCTCTCTCCTGCGCTGGCAGCTCTGAAAGCAGAACAGGTCTTGGATGGGCGCCATTCCATAGGAGAGGGGACGAATGAGGGGCTGCCCTGGCCTCACAGCTGGGTCTAGACAAGCTTGCCTGGCACTGCCCTTCCTAAGCATCTTCATCCTGGAATTCTTGCTCATTCCAGCATTCAGGGAGGGTCACGTGACACCAGCAAGCCAGGGCCCTGTCCGCCTGTAGCTCTACTCCCCAAGCGGAGCGCTGGCTGCCAGCGATGACATCAGAGCCCGGGGATAGGGTCCAGGGGCGCAGGTTTGGGTCTCCTCCCCAAGGGTTTGGTCCAGGAGGTCTGGGCGAGCCCCGAGGCTACACTTGGAAAACCTGCCGGCCCACAGCTGTGGGGCTGGTGCAGGTAGAGGGCGGGTTTACTGTCCGAGGGACCTGGTCTCGGAAGTCCTGGGTCTGTGATGCCCCTCGCTAGCTGACCTGGAGGATCGCTCCTCAGAGTCATCAGCGCAACCCGGGGCGGGGGCGGGGGCGGGGGCGAAGACAGTGCTTGCTATCTGATGAGAAAGTGTTGGTGGAATGACAGCAGTTAGCTCCTGAGTGACAGTGAACAGAAGCTGACTGTTCGTGTGTGGTTTGCGTTTCTGTGTCAGTTAAGTCGCATGCTGTACTTCGGAAGCAGTGGCGTCGCTTCCCAGGTGACCTTTTACTTGCTTCTCACAGATGGCTCCGACTCCAGAGACAAACCCAAGCTCTACCGCCTGCAGCTCAGTGTGACCGAGGTCGGGACAGACAAGTTTGACGACAGCTCCATCCAGGTGCGCACTTGGACGGCAGCGCTCAGCTTCCGTGTGTGGTTCTCGCGTTTCAGTAGGAGGTAGCCTGTGGGAGCGAAGGAGTAGAGGGAGAATATGAAAGGCTGTCTGAACATGCGTAGCTTGTTCCCTCTGGGTCATTCCCTTAGCTTCAGGGAAAAGGGCAGAGTGAGGCCATGTCCACACCCCCATCTAGGAACGGGGGGCGGCGGGAGTCCACTGAGGCTGTCGCTTGACTCCCAGTGATGGCCATGCTTTCATGGGGCTGCTTCCGAGAGACAGTGCCCGTCACCCGGCCGACACCTGGGGCCCAGGCCTTCAGTGCTCACCGAGCAAGTGTCATCTGGGTGTGGCTCCCCAGCTCAGTGTGCTCTGTGAGCGAGCACTGTCGGCATTGCTGCACCAGGTGGGCTCGTGGTAAGACGGCAACGTTGGGCTTGGCTTTAACACCCTGGCTGCCTCAGCACAGCAGCACGAAGACACACGGGAGCTGAGGCCACACATCTGTGCAGACTGACCCCCCCACTCACCTGGTCTTCACACGACCACATGCCGTCTCACACACAGCGACAGCCTGCCCACATCAGGGCGCTGGCTGCTGGAATGGACGCGCCGTGCTGGACAGTGCTGATGTATTTACACTGCGATGGAACCACTTTCTGCAGAGCGCCCACAGTCCAAGCTTACTAGACTGCAGGCATCGTCAAAGGGGACGGGCAGCTCTAAACTCTGCTTTTGAATTCTCTGTTCCATGTGGTGGCAGTTTCTTTCACTTTCTCCTATTTTTAGTTGTTTGGTTCAGGGATTCAGCCCCATCACTGCGACCTCACGAACATGGACGGAGTGGTCACCGTCACGCCCAGAAGCATGGATGCGGAGACCTACGTGGAGGGGCAGCGCATCTCGGAGACGACCATGCTGCAGAGCGGGATGAGCGTGCAGTTCGGGGCCCAGCACGTGTTCAAGTTCGTGGATCCCAGCCAGGACCACGCCCTGGCGAAGAGGCCTGTGGACGGCCTGCCCGCGAAGGGCCCCAGACACAAACCCGGGTAACCCACCGCGACGCTGCCCTGGGAAGGGCAGTGTTTCCTCGTTGTGCTGAGGCATTCCACGTTAGGCACAGGTCCCATGATTTTAATTTTTAATTCTAAGTGGTTTATGTTACGGTTCTTGTTTATTTGGCTGGTTTCAGAGGGAAGAAGAAGTCTTCATCCTAATACAGGATGTGGCTAGTTTTTAAATTACTTTAGAAATCTGTTGTTATTGGTTTGATCCTTTGAAATAACACTGCTTTGCTCTCCTGAGAAGAATCAGGGTGTTCGATGGCAGGTCGTCTCGAAGGAGATTTTGTGTTGAGGTTCCTTATGAGGGAACAAGGAAAGGCTATGTCTTTTGTCTTTGAGCGCCACCTAGCGCCTGTCTGAGGACTTGTAGCAGGGCTACTCCAAGAAAACAGGGAGACCTCCTGTTGGGTGAGGTCTAGCCATGGCGTCCTGGTTGGGGTGTGCCTTCTCACGATGATGGGGTGGGTCTCACATTGCTCAGAGCACCCGGATGTGCATGAAGGGAAAGTGCGGGAGCAGAGCCCACGCAGCTGTGCTCTCTCCTCCTTGCTCCCTCCTGACCTCCCTTTGCTCAAACCGCCCCCCGGAGCCTGGGCGTGAGCGGGCTGTGAGCATGGGTTCTCACAGTTGTCAGCTTTCAGTTTGGCTGTTGCTGTGGGTCAGCACTGGGCTCTGCCCGCCCATTCTTCGTCCACGGTGAGTCCTGGCAAAGGACAGAGACTGTCCTCTCCAGGAGGAACGTGATGGGCATGCACACGCGTGGGCGGGTGGGGTGCTGGGGTTCTGTGGGCTGGGACATCTGTTTCTAGCCTCTCCCTTTGAGTGTCAGCTTCTGCTTCTGCAGTCCCATGCTCCCCGTCCCCACGGAAACCTGCAGTGCCTTGGTGTCTCCTCACGGTGGCTCTGCTCCACTCCACCTGAGCCGTGTTTCAGCCTACCGGGAGGACCTGCTTTCCCCCTCAGGCTCTGCTTTTATCACCTCCCCCTTCGGCCTCTCCCCCTGCCTTCCCTGTCTCCTGACGGCAGCACAGTCCTGCTTGGTGGCCTCCTTCCACAGGCCTCACCGGGAAGGGGCCTTTGGGAGCTGCAGGCTGCCTCCCCGAGACCTTGTCTCCTGAGGCTTCCTCTCAGAGCCTGGCACCCGAAGGGCATTCCAGTTCACGCCCGTGTTTCTGTTTTTCGGGTACTTTCTAAGCAGCGTGAAAAGGGGAGAATGTAGATTCTCCAGTGACGCCCAGGGATGGAAGCGCTGGCTCCCGCCATCAGGGTCTCTGGTCTGGGCTCTGTTCCCTGCTGGCTGGGCCTGTGCCGGCAGGACCCAGACTTGCCCTCCACCTGTGCCTGGTGCCTCCTGTGTACCCAGGTTATTGCCTGTTTAGAATGAGAGTTTATATTCTGAGTTAATTTTCATGAGAGTGGCTTACATGTTTTGATAAATTGATTAAATGAGACTAGCTCTTGCTCTGATTGCTAACATGTTCGGAATGTCTCGTTTCTTTCTTTGTAGCCCAAGTAGTGGGTCCATAGAAGTCATCACATGGCTCAGCAGGCGGCAGCCAGTCCGTGCCGCCTGCCCCGCAGGAGCTCCTGGCATCGGAGGCGTCCACTTTTTTTCGGTGCCGTTTGCGGCCGAGTGGCCTACAGGATGGGACTCCTGCTTTTTTCCTTAGGGTCCTTTCCATTTATTGTTTTTAAACATAGTTTTAAAGAATATTCTAAGAGCATTTAGTGTCACTGAGAGACGTTTTGTTTTGTTTTCCTGTGGAGGGCATCCTGTGACAGGAAGGCCGTAGCATCCACACCTGGGAAGAGGGAGCCACAGAGCCTCTCTCCTCCCCAGGGAAACGGGTTGTGTCCCATAGCTTCGTGTGTGAAAAGCCACTTCCCGAGGATCTTTGTGTTGGGTGTTCCTCTAACCCAGTGGTCAGCAAACCACGGCTCCAGAGCCAATTTCAGCTCTTTAAGAGTAGCTCTTCCACAAAATGCCACGTGTGGGTGCGCACGTATAGACGGATTGAAACTTCGTGGCCCATGCGCAGAAGTCAGTTTTTGGCCTGGACGAGTCTATTTTAAAAAAGTGGCATTAGAACACTCAAGGGGCCAAAGAGCCATGGTTTGCCCACCACCTAGGTTCTAACCCCTCCTTTTGTATCACTAGGACGAGGTTCTGCCGATGGTTTGAGTCTTCATTCTGCCTTTTCTTTCTATCTTGGCAGAATTGTTCAGGAGACAACTTTTGACTTAGGAGGTGACATTCACAGTGGAACAGCTTTGCCAACAAGCAAGGTAAGTGATGACATCTTACCTCACAGAACGTGTTGGTTTAATGTGACAGGACACTGTGGGTGAGTTACTGTGGTGGCCCCGACCCACTGCTGTGCAGACTCCACAAGGGTCCTAGCATCTCACTCAGCGATGCAGTAGCTGTGGACTGTCTCCTCTCAGCGATGCAGTTAGCTGGACTGAAACAGCAGGCTTATAGTCGTGCAGGTGGTTTGGTTGCACCTGGGCAGTGAGGTGCTGGTCTTGCTGATGGTTTCTGGTGTGGCCGCGTTCAGCCAGTGGGTTAGCTGGTGGCCAGGCTGTCCTGGGAGACGGGGCCTCCCATCTCCCTGTCATCTCAGGTTCTCTCTGTGGGACCTCACCCTGTCACCTCTCCATGGCAACCAGATGTCCTGGGGCCTCCCAGGAGCCATGAGGTTTGCTGGTCTCCTGAAGGCTCGGGGGAGCTGGCAAGGCATGGCTCCTCTACGGGCCTGTGGGTGAAGCAGAGCACAGGCTTTGCCCAGGCTGGGGCATCCTGGGGCCGCATGCAGCAGACTCCAGGCCGGGGCATGCTCACTAGCGTCCAGGAAGAACCTGCTGTCCCTGGCGCTTGCCCACTGTCTGCTCCTGCGTACAGCGTGCTTTCTCAAAGAAACAACTCTTCCCGGGACTCTTTTCGTTCCTCGGCGCTCATTGGCTCCTGCTCCTTCCCGAGGACTGTCTGCATTCTCCTCCAGATTGCCACGCTGCTGCTTGTTTCCAGCTGTCTTTGCTGGGTCACCGCCTTACCACGTGGGTTCTCCTTCTTCCTCACTTGGATGTTTAATTACTCCTGAGTCTGACCTTGGCCCTGACCTCTCCCTGCTCCGAAGGCTGGTGGACATGTCCAGGGGGATGCTGACAGGTACCCCAGGGCAAACTCAACTGAGCACGGTTCCTTCTGACCGGCCTCTCCTTTCCTGGCCCCTTGTTTCAGTAAATGGGGCCTCCTCAGCGCTGGCCCGGGAGTCTACGGCCAGTGCATCTCTTGCTTTTCCTTCTCGCAGCCTCCACACCCAGCCATCGGCCCGTTCTCTCTGCTCCACCTGGGAGAGGTCCTCTGTGTCTGCCTTTCCCACCCCACTCCGTCGTCACAGAGCAGCGCACTTAGCCCCTCAGCAGCCCCTTTCATGTGCTGCCCGGCCCCTCTCCCGCAGCCAGGCCCATGCTTCCCGGATGGAAGTTCAGTCTTGTGATGGCCCTGGTGCCAAGGCCCAGGCTTTCTTATCCCAGGTACGGCACCATCCTCAGCCGGTTACCCGGCTCCCCGGGACCTGCCTCCAGCTGAGCACGGGCTGCCACGGCTCCGTCCCTGCACGCGGGCCCCTGGCGGCTCCCTGACCACCCGCCGTCCACACGGCTCCTCTTCTGTCCTCAGTCCTCGCGTAGGCCCCTCCTGGAAGACCTGTTCCTCACGCACCAGCACCAGCACCAGCCGCTGCTGCCGGTCGCAGTGCGGCCTGGGTCCTGCGGCCCTGCCTGGGCTCTGGAAGGGGCTCTCGCTTGTGAGCTCTGTGCCCGGCTCTGCAGCGTGTGGTGCGGGAGCGAGTCTCGGGAACCAAATACAACCATACAAGTTTAAGCTTTTTATAAAATGTGTAGTCAGCATAGAAAAACCTAAATTGAAAAAAGTGAAAGCATGAAAACTGTTCATTCAGTTTATAAGTTGGCTTTTGACAACATGTTGATGGGTGTTTTTTTTTTAAATCTTGATGCATGTCTGTGTGTTTGTTTATATATTTTAACATACTTAAACCTTTGTTCCCCCCCCCCCCCCCCCACACACACACACTCCTTTCTGTCCTACTTCCTTTGGCTTTTTTTGTGTTAGTATTTCCTTTGAAAATCATTTGAAAACCAGCTGGATATTGTTCCATAATATGGTAACATATACTAGTAAACTTGCCATAATTTATCGCCAGAGTATTCATTTAAAGTAAAATTTTTGCAGTCTAAGTATTGCCATTCACTGACCAGTTTTATTTCTATCAATATATCTTATGGAAGTAATTTTTGTGTATGAATATATATATTTACAGACTCAGTTGTCATGGTACCCTATACTGATGAGCATTTTAAACAACATAAAAAAAAGGTTTGGTTTAATGGATTTTGATTAATAGACAACAAAATGTTATACAGACATAGGACTTTGTAACATAAAAATATCATTAGATGTTTATAACATGATAGAAAAAGTAATTTTTTATATAAAGTAATATACTCTCATTTACGGAAAATGTGGAGAACTGCAAATATGCCTACAGCACAGAGTCCTCTGTTGGTGGGAAGACAAGGTGATGTTTACCGTCTGCTCAGCTCCTGCTGTAGAGTGAGAACTGGACCAGGAAGCTTTGCTGCAGGCGTTCTCCTTGGAAGCCACTGTTTCCTAACGGGGGACTTGCCTGTGTGCCTGTGTGGTTGGTTAGGAGTGGGCACTGGGTGGAAGGTTAAACACATGGCATTGGTTGCTGTACATGCTTCCCCCGTGGTGATTAAGGATAGGAAACTCCAGTTTCTGTACGCAATTCTTCATTAGGTGTTGAGCTACAATGAGCAGATTTTAAGATCCTTTCTTAAAACTAACAAACCACAGAAGGACCTAACTCTCCATGTTGTCCGTATCTGTCAGCGCTGTCCTGATCTCAGATACTTCTTGGAACAAAGCCCCGTTGTTACTATGCTCCGGGAGAACTTGGGACCACGTCTGTGTGCGTGGGGCGTGGAGCCAGCTGCTGGCTTTGGAGGGCGTGGCTGTGGCTCATTAGTCTTCAGGGGCGTGGAATGCCCTGGGATTCTGGCACGCTGGCGGCTCTCCTGCTTGGCAGCTCACCACGCCCACACCTGCAGGCTGGTCTGAAGCGGCGTGTGGTGCTGATCAGCGCTGTGTTTCCCTTGGCCAGAGCTCCACACGACTGGACAGCGACAGGGTGTCGTCTGCCTGCAGCACAGCCGAGCGGGGGATGGCGAAGCCGATGGTCCGCGTGGAGCAGCAGCCGGAGTGCCGCTGGCAGGAGAGCAGGTGAGGCGGTCGCTTCCATTGTGGAGGAGGGACGTTGCCCAGTGGGCGGGTAGCTTTCCGCATCTCGGAGGTGGAGCTGCTGTTGTTAGGAGTCAGTGAATTTCCTCTCGTGTTGTCGCCTGGGGCAGTGCTTCCGTCATGTGTCCTGGCCAGAGGGACGCCTGCTGGCTTACGTGTTTCTGTGTTAAGTGTGCTACTCTGAACCATGGGAGACTGTAGAGATAGGACTTGAATATTGGATGATTTCTGTATTTACATGAAACTCACCATTTCGCCCGTTCTTAGATTCCCATGTGTTTAAAACAGAAAAAGTAATTTTTTATATACAGTAGTATACTCTCATTTACGGAAAATGTGGAAAACTGCAAAGATGCCTACAGCACAGAGTCCTCTGTCGGTGGGAAGACAAGGTGATGTCACAGGAGTGGTGTTGCAGGAGCTTTAGCCAGGCGCTCGGCCACTTCCTCCGCTCCCGCTCCGCCACTTCCTCCCGGCCACTTCCTCCCTCTCCGCTGAGACCTGGAGGAGCTAGATTTGGTCCTGCCAGTGCTTTGAACAGAGCGCTGCCTCTGTTACTTCTTTCCTCACAGCTTTGAGATGCCACGTCCCCTTTGTAACCCGAGTTTCACTGTCTGGCCTCTCTCAAATTGTTGGCATGGAAGTGCGTGCAGGGCGGGGGTCTGACCCACAGCTGCTGTGCCCAGTGTGTTGGGACAGCAGCAGCCCCGCTGGGACGCCCCCGTCTCTGGGTACTAGTCAGGGTTTCAGGGCGCCATTGTGACTGCTCCCTCTCAGTCCAGTAGCTGAGGTTGGCAGTCACTCACCCACACGGTGACGGACCACAGGTCCAGGCCGTCCCTTCCCCATCCTCCAGCAGAGGACACTGTAGTCATGAGGTTTCCGTGCCCATCACAGGAGCTAAACATGCAGATTCATGTGGGACTCAGATCTGCACCTGGGTTGTGATCTGGGTTTTTGGTGCTTAATTTGGTTTGCTGGCTTTGTTTTTTTGACGTGATAGTAGTCGTCTGCTTCTCTGTCTGTGCTTGTGTTTGATGGTGTAGTCTGGAATAAGATGGGTAGAGTGGTATGTTTGTATTGTAAGGATACCTCTATTTATTCACAAGGTGATCAAGAGGCACGTATCACAGTCCTGAGCCTATGAGTATTTGAGTGAGTGAATCCAGACGTGAGAGAGGGACGATGGATTACCGTAATGCTCTTAGGATATGCACAGTTAGGAAGTCTCCATAGTTAATAAAGGGAAAGTAGTAAGATAATAGTGTTAAAATTGCCAGATGATGGTTAATTATATGTTACACATTATCTTATCCTGTATAGAGTAAGTGACCTTTTTCAAGGTCAGATTATTTTGCTTTGGAAAATATTGATTAAAAGCTTTCTCTGAACTATGATGTGTGTTGACATTAAGACAGTGATAGAAACAGGATATTGCCATTTCCAGTCTTGTGTTTCTCATGTGCAGTGTTGGTATAGCGGTGCTCAATTGATGTGTTTATAAAAATCTAAGCTGCTTTAATGCACATGTTTAAAACACTAATTTTAGTCAAAAAAAAATCTTTCCAAAATAAGGGATTGACTAAATTATCACTGACAATATTTTTCGATGAGAATTTAAATTCTCTATTTTTGCTAGATTTGTTAAATTGATGAAACAAATAATTTGTAAAGTTTACCCAGGGCCATTTATGGACATTGAATGAAAATAACTACTTACCTGCAATTTTAGATATCCATCAATAGGGCAGCGTGAGAAAGACTTATTAATTTTGAACACTTAATTTACATTGTGTATATAAGAGCATTTTTACACATAAGTTATTAAGTCACAGGCGGCATAATCTATGAAGCATATAATGTGACGAAGATGCTTTTGGTTCACCGATGCAGCTGTCCTTATGGGGCTCCCTCACATGTGTCTCTCCCCCTCGCCCGGGTGCTGGGGGTGGGGGGGGGCCAGTGGGGAGGAGAGGGTGGAGGACGGGAGCCTGGCTGTGGGCAGTGGCTTCAGTGTCAGCCGGTAGCTAGGGGCCTGTGGTCATCATGGTGCTGGTTTCTGTCATTGTTGAGGATCTTTATTGTTGGAACTAACTTATGAGGAGACATGCCCATGACTTCAAACACTCACCTCTGCCCAGCTCGTACCGTTGTCCGAGAGTCTCAGACCAAAATGTGGCTGAATCCATCCTGACTCAGTTTGGTTTAAGTCAATATTTAAAAAACAGATGTTTTCATTTCAGCGTAAGTCCTTATAATCCCCACCATTTAGTTTTCAGTTAACTTTGCAGAAAGGCGAAGCACATTTATCTTACACATTTAAAAAAGTCTTTGCTTATTAATGGCTTTCAACTGCTTTTTGATGAGTGTACAACACGTATCACGTGTTTACATATGCCCGGTGGACACACACCCACGGGTATATTTTCTGTTTGTAATTGAAAGAAGAACTTCATATGACAGTGCCCACCTTGTAGCCTGTCAGGGGGCAGGCGTCCCACAGGCTGAAGAACTCTAATACAAAGGACTTGACCTTTGAGTCAATTTGGTCTTGAATACCTAGAAATATATAAACACCAGCACAATGCTAGCTATCAGGAATGTTCCCAAGTTATAGGTCCTCTTAGATTATGTTTTAGGCAGTTCCTTATTTCTGTAGCATCAGCTAAGTGATGAAAGTGCCTCGGATTGTGTGACTTAGAGAAGAAATGTGAGTGACGGTGTGTTCGGAGGCATGCATCGCTGAGCGTCAAGAATGCTGACCATGCCGGCACCGGTTTGGCTCAGTGGTAGAGCGTCGGTCTGCGGACTGAAAGGTCCCGGGTTCGATTCCGGTCAAGGGCATGTACCTTGGTTGCGGGCACATCCCCAGTAGGGGGTGTGCAAGAGGCAGCTGGTCGATGATTCTCTCTCATCGACGTTTCTAGCTCTCTATCCCTCTCTCTTCCTCTCTGTGAAAAATCAATAAAAATATATTTAAAAAGAAAAAAGAAAAAAAAAAAAAAGAATGCTGACCATGCGGCTGCAGGGCTCTGCAGCCTCCTGTCTGACCTCGGCTGGAGGGCAAGGCCACGTGCGCCTGGGGCGTCCTCCCTTTCCTGATGGAGCTCAGGCTGCTCAGATGGTCTGTCCCAGCAGTATCTCCTCCGTCACCCGAGCCATCGCCACAGCAGGTGCCTAGCGGCCTGGGCTCTGCGCAGGCGTGAAGCCTCGTGAATAATGGAGTCAGGGTGGCTCTGCTGTCCCCTGAAGGGGCTGGCCTGTGCCGAGGGGGTCGTGACAGCTGTTAGTTTGTCATTTGAATATTTGCTGAGGTCACACGTGGAAAGGCGGCGGTGGGCTCCTTATGTGCAGAGGAAGTTTTTAAAGGTTCAGAGCTCCGTAGGCTGTCAGGTGTCACTGGCTCCGTGACCTGGTGTTAAGAGCCCATTCTTCTTGCAGGACGCAGGATGCTCTGGGGCCGGAGCTGGTGCTGCCCGCGACCATTGAGTTCAGGGAGAGCGGTGAGTGCTGTCACGTCCCATCAGTGAGCTTGTCCTGTCCGTTTTCCTCCCTCTGATGCTCACGTTTCTTCCTTTGGTTCTCCTTTTGGAAATGCCGTCACAGCTGAAGACTCGTTTCTGTCTGCTGTTATAAATTACACGAACAGCTCCACCGTCCACTTTAAGTTGTCCCCCACCTATGTGCTCTATATGGCCTGCCGGTATGTATTGTCGAGCCAATACAGACCGGAGGTCAGCCCCCCCGAGCGCACCCACAAGGTGGTCGCCCTCGTCAACAAGATGGTGAGCATGATGGACGGCGTGATCCAGGTAAGCCAGTTCTCTCACGTCTCAGACTGGGCTTCATATTGACTTTATCTTAAGAATTTTTCTTAAAATGAAAGTTATATATGTTCTATTGAAACTGTGTAGCTTTAAAAGTTGAAAAGAACTGTAAAGTCTTTTCAATTTCTTCCTCACAAACTTGAGAATAAGGGAAGGCAAATTGTACATGGTTACGTAATTATCATGAAAAAGATCCTTAACATTAGAATAATAGTTGTGAGAAAGCATTGAGGCTTGATGTGGGTTTCTTAGAATTGAAAGTAGTAATAATGTATTGAGATGAAGTTCGTTAACCATTTTAAAGTGAAAACTCAGTAGCATTTAGTACATTCCCAGCGCTGAGAGCCACCAGCTCTGCCTGATCCGGAACATTCCCTCACTCCAGCCCAGCCCCTGAGGGGTCTCCTTTCCCTTCCTCCGGCCCCGGCTACCCACCTCTGAGTCTTTGGTGCTGTTAGGGGCGCTTGCTCCTGCCGAGCCTCCATGACGCTGCGGTGAATGCCCGGAGCTTCCGGCCCACGTGTCGGTTGTCAGGGTGTCGCTGGCTGTCAGGGTGGTGGCAGCCTGGCCTTTCTCACAGGGACAGGCGCGCAGGCTCCGCCCTGAGCCGGCTCCAGCAAAGGCTGGAGCCAGGTGTCCTCTTGGCGGGTGGTGCTCTCTGGAGCAGAGGAGATGGGCTAAGTACACAGAGAGATTTGCAAACGTGTTTCCGAGTTGTGTGGCCGTTCTGTTGCTCGGCTCTCGTAACCCGCCTAGATGGCTAGGTGGTTGTCTCCTGTCAGGAAGGTTTGAGGCAAACTCATCTTTTTATTTTTTTTAAATACATTTTATTGATTTCAGGGAGAAAGGAAGAGAGATAGATAGAAACATCAATGATGAGAATCATGGCTCGGTGGCCCTCTGCATATCCCCTACTGGGTATCGAGCCTGCAACCCAGGCATGTTCCCTGACTGGGAATCAAAACCCTTCAGTCTGCAGGCCGACGCTCTATCCACTGAGCCAAACCGGTTTTGGCACTCCCATTATTTTATAGACAAATGTGATTTCCTGTCTAGTTGTCACTCAGCCACTGTCTGCCACCGTGTTTGGGTTTGTAAACCCTGTCTCAAGTTAGGCGACTCTTGCCATCACGACTCTGATAGACTTTCCTTATTGAATTTGAACTTCACTGGGATCACCGTCTTTGCTTTCAGATGCAGATTAGGGTATGATTGGAGGAGTCTTAATGTTGTAGAAACAAAGTATGGTAGTAAATAATTAAAAATTTTTAATTTGTAAAAACCCAAGTTCAAAAACCAGTTTACTCACTTTTTAGATTTAAGTTTTTGTATGTCTTCATATTCTCAAGGTGTTCAGTATTTATATTTATTGTTTCTGTTGGTCTTTGCTGTCTCTTTTTTTCTTCCTAATTAACGGGGGAAGAGACTCCTTTCACAGACAGATCGTTAAGCCCCCAGCTCCCAGTGTCACTAAGACCTCATGTCAGGGGTTGTCATGGGTTCACTGTCTCTTCTTACCGACTCACTTAGTGACACCCAGCCAGAGTCAGGCGCACAGAACGCCTCCGTGCCACGTCCCTCGGAGCTGCATCAGGGCAGGGAATGGATCGGTAACCTGGGGAGAACATAGCTCAGTGTCATGCCTTCATTTTAGTGTTTTGATTTTTTTTAAACTATCATGATTGTTTACAAGTTTCTTTCTCTTGTTCTGCTTGATCCCCTCGTCTGTTTTTCTCCAGGAAGTAGACCAGGTTGAACAGGTAGGACCTACTATGGGACTGAGCCTGGCTCTGTTGGCTTAGCTGAGTTTCTCATGCTGCTTCCATGTCAACACAGTGCTCAGACTGGACCGAGCGTCCATAACACTCATCCGGCAGCTGAAACACGCAGTACTAAACCCCTTTTGACTGTGCAGCCTTTACCAGCATTTCATAACTTCTGCTTAATGCACTTCCGTGTGGATATGAAATGACAGCAGTTCTGTTTCTTCTCGTCGTCCATCCTTGGTCCCTATCCTTTGGATCTCACCTGAGGTTGCCTGGCCTGCACATGTGGTCGGAGAGGATGCGATAGATCATACTGGATACTGGGTTGCTTGGCGGCCAAGCCAGTGACCGCGAGTATCCAGGTGGCTGTGGGTAACCATGGACACGTGTGTGTATGCGCAGATTACCAGATAATGCACAACCTCTGATTTGGCGCTGGATTCCTCGATATCCCATTTCTCCATTGATTCATAAACGGTAGCCAATTAGATCCACATGTCTCTGTGAGCCCAGGAAGCGCAGTGGTGACTGGTTCCCACTGCTGGGCATGGACCCAAATTCTTTGGCGAGTATCTGGTATCTGTGGCAGTGCGCTGGTGGGATGGGAAGGTACTGGTCTATCCTCGGCAGCTTTCAGGAGCATCCTTGGTGGTTGTTGTTACTGTCGGTCCTGTGGCGGCTCAGGGATGTGTTCTGCCCTCAGAAACAGAAGAACATCGCAGGGGCGCTTGCATTCTGGATGGCCAACGCATCTGAGCTCCTCAACTTCATCAAGCAGGACCGGGACCTGAGCCGGATCACACTGGACGCCCAGGACGTGCTGGCGCACCTGGTGCAGATGGCCTTTAAGTAAGGGGCCCTTCTGAAGAGGGGCACTGTTCTGTAAAGATTTAAGTCATGTTATGTTGGCTTAAATCTTCAAAACTAATTTTAAAGGTTCTTATTTGCCTTGTTTGAATAACATCAAGAAGCATAAATAACTATGCAAAATGTGTTGACTTAATAAATTGAATTCAGTGAGCTGTGTTTCTTGAACTCTGAGAGGGAAGCTGTTATATTTTTAATGAAGTATTTCTGAGCAGTGCAGGTGGTTCCGCATGTGCCATGTCTGATAGCAGCTCCTCACGCTGACATCAAGACACTATGCATGCTTTCAGGTTCCTGGTCCACTGTCTGCAGGCAGAGCTGAACAACTACATGCCGGCCTTCCTGGACGACCCCGAGGAGAACAGTCTGCAGAGACCAAAGATAGGTCAGGACAGTCATCCCCCTCCCTCTCCTGTTCCCTCCCTCCTTCTCTTTTCCCCATCCCTCCTTCCCTCTCCCCTCGTCCACCCATCCCTCCCCTTTCCCTCCTTCCCTTCCTCTCTGCCCACCCTCCCTCCCTCTCTCTCTCCCTCTTGTTTAACTTCATTTTAATATTTCATATTTGTAAGAGGGGGGCATTGTGAAAATAAACAAGGTATTGGATTTGGCGTTCTTGTTAAAGCAACAGGATTTAACTACCCCCAGCAGTGAGTGTTGTTTAAGAGAGCTCTTGTTTGGGTGTTCCGTGCTGGTTGTGCTTTCTCAGGGAGCCTGAGGTGAGCCCCAGTGTTCAGTAAGTGCAGTTAATGCCTGTAAGTGTTTAAAACACTTCACTCCTTCCTCTCTGGACGAGTGGCATTTTCAGAGTGCTCTGGCAGGTATGCTGTGACTTTGACAAAATTTACTGCCAATTCAAGACTCGTGAGTGACCGGTGCCCCTCGCCCTGTCTCTGCAGACGACGTCCTGCACACGCTCTCGGGGGCGATGGCGCTGCTGCGGCGCTGCCGGGTCAACGCAGCCCTCACCATCCAGCTCTTCTCCCAGCTCTTCCACTTCATCAACATGTGGCTGTTCAACAGGCTGGTCACTGACCCCGAGTCCGGGCTGTGCTCACACTACTGGGGCGCCATCATCCGCCAGCAGCTGGGCCACGTGGAGGCGTGGGCGGAGAAGCAGGGGCTGGAGCTGGCCGCCGACTGTCACCTCAGCAGAATCGTGCAGGTGGGTGCCCCCTGACCCCGGACGAGCACGTCGCCACGCCTCTGATGCCATCCGGGTGAAGGCGCGGACTCCAGAACTCTGTCCCGCTGAGTGTTTCCTGGGTCACTAACAGGGCTGTGCGCTGGGGCCGCTGTGGAGATCGGCTGCATCCTCGGGGCCGGTGGGTGCGTCTGCCTCAGCCTCTAGGCTGGCTGGGGGCCTGCGTCTGTTCTCTCCGGGGCCTTCCCTGTGCGCGTGTCTGTGCGCGCACGTCCCCTTTCTGAGGACAGCCAGGCGGAGCTGGCCGCGTTCCCCTTGGCGATTCCTCCAAGGCCCGCCGCCCAGGCCTCTTTCCGAGGTGCCGGGGAGGCTTCGCCAGAGGACTCGGGGCGGAGGGGAGTGCACTGCGCCCATGGCAGGTGGGGCTAGCAGGCGACTGTCCTTCAGGGTCTTTGTATCGAGGTCAGCGAGGCGTATTTATTTTATTCTCCATGCTGAGAGAAATATTACTTAATAATGGACAGTAGTTAGCTCCTAAGAACACAGAACCAGAAACCACAGAGCAGAAACTGTGTAGTAGATTCACAAAGACGAAGAGAAGGAAAGGAAACATCACTGTACAGGACTAGACACAGGTGAGAGGAAGAGCGGACCCATCCCTGAGGTCACGGGCGGGAACTGAGGCCCTCACCCGAGTGTCCTCACGCGTGCGGCCCGGAGTCCAGTGGTGGGCAGCTGGGGGCACGCGTGTCTCAGCCTCAGAACCAGGCAGCGGCTGCTGTTGCTGCAGCGTGTCGTGTTGTATTCCTTTTCTCAGCTTCTTCCTCTGTTCTGAGGAGCGGGCATGGGCAGAGGCTCCGCCTCCTGCTCTGGGGCGGCTGAGCCTCTCAGCAAGCTGGCTCTCGGACCCGGCACCAGCTACCCGAGTGGTTATGGACGTGGTTGAAGTTCCTAGGAGAACTTGCACGTGCTCTGCGGATATAGCTGGAGTTGATTGTGCGCCTCTGTCAGTACCGTGAAGCCCTCGGCGACCTTCCTGAGGCCGCCCTTTCCCTTCAGTTCCTGGGCCCGTCAGTGATGGGAACGGTGTCCCGGAACCAGCCCGCCGCGGCCGCAGCTGTGCCTCACGTACGGGGACAGTGAAAGGCTCAGCGTCACAGGCTCCATTCCCTCACAGGCCACTACCTTGCTAACGATGGACAAGTACGCATCTGAGGACGTTTCCAACATAAACAGCACCTGCTTCAAGCTGAACTCCCTGCAGCTGCAAGCCTTGCTGCAGAACTACCACTGCGCGCCCGATGAGCCCTTCATCCCCACGGTAAGCGCAGCCCCCGCCCCACGTGGACACGCGTGCACAGGGCGTGGGGGTGAAAGCAAAGGAAAACTGATTAGCAGTTTCCTTTCACTTTAAAAACAAGCTTAGTCAATCTCCACGGTCAGTCTTCTATTGGGGTATGAGTTCGGGTTCGGTGTAAGAAGTAGAAGTTTCGTAAGCATTTAAATAGAACGGGTTTTAACCCTGGCTCGGTTCTTGGAAAACCATGGGGAGGCCGGCAGGGTGGGGTGCAGGGTACCTGGAGGCAGGCGTGCTGCCGTTGGTCTCCGCCCGGGGCTGCCACGCTGGCTGTGTGCAACATGGGACGTCCGCAGGCAGCTGAGGACGAGAGGTGAGGTGATAGCCTGAGACAGTCTCCAACCTCCCATGCTGAGTTCATGCCCCAGAGGCATTGAGTGAGCTCTTGCCCATGTCATTGAGCATTCTACAAAAATAGGGCTGTTCCTATTGGCTGTTGAAGAATTGTCCGAGGAAAAATTGATTACTTTTGAAAAGAGGTAGGACATAAACCTCGATGTGAAGGAAGCAGTCACTGGAGTCAAACCCCACGCTCTCTGAACCCAAGTCCCTGGCTCTCCTGGTCCTTCATTCACCACAAGCCCATTTTCTCGTGATTGAACAGTTTCTTCTCTTTTAAGCTGCACGTTATTTGCGGTTAATAATTAGTATCTTGGTTCATTTACGTCAGTGTGTGCTTTGCTGGTGTTTCGCTGCATCGCAGGCTGATTGAACCTGTTGTCATGCTGTTGCCCCGGTGGCCTGAGCAGACGCGTGGATCATTGCTGATCAGCTGCTCCAGTCACGTAGCATATCATCCGATTTGCATTTCTCTGCCCAGGACCTGATAGAGAACGTCGTGGCTATGGCCGAGAACACGGCTGACGAGCTGGCGCGCAGCGACGGGCGGGAGGTGCAGCTGGAGGAGGACCCCGACCTGCAGCTGCCCTTCCTGCTGCCAGAGGACGGCTACTCCTGCGACGTTGTCAGGAACCTGCCCAGCGGCCTGCAGGAGTTCCTGGACCCCCTGTGCCAGCGGGGTAGGTGTTGTTGCGGAGTCTGAAGTCGGACCCTGCCCGAGTCTGTGTCTCTGTGTGCTCCACTCGTGTGGGTGCTTCCAACAAATGCACTGTTCCGGGGACTCGGAGGGAAGTGTTCCCCGTGACACAGGTTCCTGATGTGCAGACACACAGTGCCGTGGGGGGGGGGGGGGGGGGTCGGCACCCCTCCTGCGACCACTGGCTGCTCGCTGGGCGACACGAGGGCCTTTCCTTCTCCTACTCCCGGTGTGGACAGGCGGGTGCTGGATACGGCCTCGGAGCCAACTGTGACGGCAGTGCCAGCAGAGCTGGTCCCAGCCCTTCCCCTCCAGTTTCTCTCATGGAGTGGGCATGTGGACAGCAGTGAGGAGCCTGGGAACTGCGGCCCACGCATCTCTTAAGTGCTGGCGGCTGCCCTTCCCTCAGTGCCGGGCTCGCACGTGGTCTGTGCTGAGGTCCCGCTCTGCCGTCTCTCAGTGCAGCTCAGCTCCCCGAGTCATTGCGTCTTTCACGTGTCCTCCCACATGTGTGGTGCAAGGGCTCGGTTACACCGGAGGCAGGAGCTTTTACTCAGATCGGCTCGGCCCGGTCTGCTGCTCTCCTGTAACGTGGAGCTCAGAGGAGGACAGAGCAGACCCAGGCTGGAGGGCTAAGCAGAAGGACCAGGAGAGCCGGGCTCTGTGTACACTTGGACTTGGGTTCAGAGTGTGGGGTTTGACTCCAGTGACCGCTTCATTTACCACATTGAGGTTCACGTCCCCAGACTTCGGCAATTTAAAACATTGGCCCAGCTGCCTCTGGGAATGCCATGAGGGCTGTGTCCCCCCCAGGAGTGTGGGGAGCTGGCGTGTGGGTTGTGGAGGGGGAAAAGGCCCAGACCCCGGTGCTCCTCTGAGGAAGCTGGGCAGTGGGAGTACGGATGATGCCGGCGGGAGGGCCATGTCCCTCTGCCGCACCCACCTCACGTGGGAACCTCACCCTCACCCCGTCCCGCAGCACACACAGGTGTGATGGGCAGCAGCCCAGGCCCGGCTTCTTGCCCAGTTCCCATCCCTCCCGCCTCCACACTTCATGTCTGGCTGGTTTCTGGCTCTCCCTCTCCTGTTGGCCTGGAGTCCCGAACCTGCTGTTCGTGCAGCACCACTCGCAGCCCCCCCCCCGCCCCCCAGCAGCCCGTCCTTCCTCCTGCAGTGCACGTGCAAAGGTGTAGACAGGAACACGGATATCGTCACTTGATGCCTGAGGGTTATGGTGTGTCTGGCGTGCTGTGCCTTTCAGTCCTGCCATTTGCTTCTCTCCCCCAGGCTTCTGCAGGCTGGTCCCTCACGTACGCTCCCCGGGCACCTGGACCATCCACTTCGAGGGCGCTGATTACGAAAGCCATCTTCTGCGCGAGAACACGGAACTGGCAAGTCCCCAGGCGGAGGTGGCAGGGAAGGACGAGAAGGGGCTGTGGATTCCTTCCTTGCTTACAGGGAACATCGTAAAATCACCTTTAAACACCAATTCATTTAAAAACCTTACATAAGATTAAAACCCACGACTTACATGTAGTTTTTATTCCAGGCCGTGTCTGTAAACAAATGGTGCTTTTTCAAAACCGAGTATTTCTATACCCTCAGCTGTAATTGATTGGTGGGACATTGGGCAGCGTGAACAGACAGTGTCAGGTGTGGGTTTCTCATAACAAGATCCGTACAGGGCACCGTGTGCCACCACCCGAGTCACCCTGAAACAAACCGTGTTCATCCTTCAGGCTCAGCCCCTGCGGAAGGAGCCCGAGGTCATCACCGTGACCCTGAAGAAGCAAAACGGAATGGGTCTCAGCATCGTCGCGGCAAAGGTAGGCAGGCCAGCCGCATGAGGAGGAGGGCGAAGCAGATGGCGTGGGGTGCTGCCCCCTGTGGGTGCCCATGTGCCCCCTCTGTGCTGGAACCACTGTGCTTGGAGCCTCCAGCTGAAGGGTGGTCTCCCCTCGGAAAGAGGAGCCAGAGCTGTGCGCCTGGAGGTCAAGCAGGTCCTTGGAGAGGGCACGGGCAGGGCTGGGGCTCGGGAGAGCTGCTGCTCAGTCACGGATCGGGCACCCGCCTCCCGGGCTGGGGTGCAAGGCCTGGGACCACCATCCTCTTGGCCCCCATCCTCGGGAGGTGGCGTTCCCGCAGCCCTGAGTCTGAGCGAACAGGACTGGGGTGTGAGGAGCGAGGACAGAGGCGGCTGCGTGCTGGGGGGGGCGGGGGGGGAGGGGGGCGGAGCGGCACTGCGGGGAGCCGAGGAAGGAGAGCGGTGCTTCATGAACGTGACAGACGGGCTGAGGAGCGTGCACTTGGTCTCGGGGACACAGAGAAGTGGGGCTTCTAGAAGAAGAGGGGAGGGGCACGTGAAGCTTAAGCTGACACGCCAGGGGCCGTGTGGGCGGTGGGTGTAGGATGAAAGCATCTGCACCGAGTGGCATTCGGGTTGGAATCGGCTGGGAACTGCTATCTGGCCTGAAGCACTGAGTCACGGGGTCCCCATCAGGGGCAGCGCTCAGGCCGGACCTGCTTCCCCCGGCGTGCCTGCCACGGCTTAGTCCCAGGCCCCGGGGTATCACGGACCACAGCTCAGAGACTTGGACCAATGGTCTCAGCCAAGGACCGCTGGGCTCTTTGCTTAGCAGCTGAATCACATGTCCCTTTTAAAGGGAAAGACGACTGGGATAAAAAATCCCACCTCCCTCAGACACAGGAAGAGCTTCACCTCCCTGCGTCCTGACATCCACGTTATAAACTTACTTCAGTGCTCGCCACCTGATGTTGGAAATGTCTGCCAGGAGTGGTGTGCAGGCTGCCATCGACCGCCCGTCGTTCCCAGCTCAGAGCCCAGTTTTCCGTAGGAAACGTCCAAGTCCCCACACATCCCCTCGGATGTAGGTGCCGGCCCCGAGCTGCCTGTGCCCCGTGTCCGACGCAGGAAGCACGGGCATCACCTGCAAGCGGCCCCCTTGGGCACTCCTGCCTCTCCTCGCTGGTTCTCCTGTACCACTGGCATCTGCGGGCAGTTAGGACAGGGTGCCCACTCAGGATCACAGGATCATTCACTCACCGCGGCGGCAGGTGGAGCAACAGGGAGGGGAGTGGCAGGGTGAGGCCCCACCAGAGGTCTGCCTGGAGGCCTGGCCCAGGAATGCAGGGCCGAAGACCAGCGAGCATTACTGGCCGGGGTGTAGGCTGAGTCCATGCCAGCTGTGCCCGTCTGCATGGGAGGGCAGCTTCTCAGCCCTCACCAAACCCACGCTGAGGCAACTGCCTCCACCTGCTGTTTGCCCACCTGTGGCGGCCACCTCCCCCGCCCTGCGCCTGCTCCTTTCCCGCGGTCTGACGCTCCTGAGCTACCAATAAGGCCTTCACGCTCATCGCCCAGGAGGGAGGCAGGAAGTGCGGTCCTCCAGGAGTCAGGGAGAGTCAGCCCTGGCTGCTTTCCCTCACCTGGTGCCTCTGGGTACATGGTGGCCTCGGGGGGTGGGAGGATGAGGTCTCCTGTATCCTGTGCTCACGTTGGAGGCCTTGTGCTGTGAACGCACAGGCAGTGCTGAAGCGATGTCTCCTCCAGCAGATGTTGGTGTCTTTCATGGGAAAGTAGACTGGTTCTGAAGCCTGCCCCTGGGCCTGGGGATGTGGCTCTCACTGAGGTGGCGCCGCCCACGCGGCACGAGAGTGGAGCTCAGTCTGAACGTGTTTGGGAGCTGTGAGTGCCTGTCCTGTTAGTGAGGAGCGTGTTACCAGCAGAGTCAGACATGTGGCTCCGCTCAGAGGGGAGAGCTGGAGGCCATGGAGGGAATCGCTCAGCACGGTCTGGTGACAGGACGCTTCGGTGGCCCTGCCGGGAGCTGGAGCCCTGGCAAATCCCTCAGTCCCCAGATCGCCACGCCAGCAATGCCCTGCCCTGGCGGGTGCTCATGTCCGCCGGCTTCCATCCCTGGTGTCCCTCACTGCTGTGCGCCCTCTCCCCTGCCAGTTCCCTCCTTCCTGCCCCCCCCCCCCCCCCCCCCGTTTTGTTTTCCTCGTCAGCCGTGCGGTCTTTGTCTCTGGCCCAGGCCGCCTCTGTGTTTTCCTCATTACGTGTGGCGTGGCTGCTGGGCCGGGACATAGTTTGCTGTGTGCTCCCTGGCGCACTGCGGTTCCGTTTATGAAACCCAGATGATGTGGACGGGTGTGTGCAGCTGCTCCGAGCCGCTGCCGCTAGCTCCTCGGCGGGCAGCACTGTGCTTCCTGTTTGGACTTTTAAAAGGCAAACAAGTCCATCCTTTTTGTTTGTCCGGCTCTTTTTAAAGTTTAATGAAGTACAAAGTAAGCAAAGTCAGAGCCCACTGATTACGTAAGTCTGGATGTCGTGGTGATTAACGCCACCGTGTCACTGCGTCCAATTCGGCGTGCGGTGGCCCGGCTCGCCAGCCCCGTGGGGTGGCTGCCGCTGGCGGGGAGAGAAGGGATCGGGAGCAGCTTCCCACGGAGACATTCAGTCCGCGCGACCAGCATGTGGTTCTCTGTTGTCGGGAGAGCGGGCCCAGTGGTGAGTGTCCTGGGCGGGGGTGGGCATGGAGGGGGTTCCGGGCAGCTGGAACTGTGCTCCCACAGAAGGGCTTCTCCCAGTGTAGCGTGTTCAGACCTGTCACTAATTAGCACTCAGGGAGCAGCCATGTAACGTAGCGTGTAACTGCACAGGTGGTAGCTGCTTTTGGTTTTCATGCTGCAAGTCCTTAAGATCATAAAAATATCAGGCTCTTTACGTGCTTTTTATATAAGAAAAACTAATCAGTCCTGCCGGCCCTGTCACATGTGAACATGCTGAGGTCATGGTGACTCCAGCCACACCGCCTGCTGGGCCCTGGGTTAGCTACAGGAGGTGGGTTTTACCTTCAGCTCTCTCTAAAATCATTATCTCTTAAATATAAAAAGGACAATCTTAAAAGTACTTGGAACATTTTACTATTTTATTTAAAAATAAATAGCTAACTGAGCAGTGCCTTACAGATAGTTTTGGTTTGTGCTTTCAGACTATAGACTGAGTCCAAGTTTTTAAGTCTCATTTATCTCAAGCACCCAGTGGGGTCCTGCCCTTACAGCAGAGGGGGCTGTTGGGCGAGCTGCCTCCTCACGGAAGTACCCATGGGAAGGCATGTGCTGAGGACCCGCTCTCTGTCCTGCTGTCCTCGCACGGCCACGTGGCTGAGCCTCAGAGTGAAGTCAGGAACCCGGTACCTTCCAGCCGGTGTGTGGGCTGCTGGCCTCTCTTGGGCCAGGGGAGCGGCCCGGGCTGCGTGGTGACGGCGCCTGCAGGACTTGCTTATGAGTCTGAACACACATTTTATGTGTCTAAAAGCGAAACAGCAGGTTACACCAAAGAGTAAGTTTCTGCCTGTCTCATGGTCGCGGTCTCGGTGCTCATGGGTAGGTGGGTGGAAATGTGGGGTCCGTCAGTCTCAGAACAGGAGCGTGAAGGGTTGAGAGTGCGCGAGGCAGAGCCGGCTCTCACAGTGGACCCGGGCACCGTGCTGCTGGTCCGTCCATGAAGGGCCTCCCACCGCTCTGGCCTCACCCCTCCCTCGGCGAGGCGTGGGTGAACGCTCGGCCACAGGCACACCGGAGCTGCGTGTGGAGCGCGGGGAGACGCGGGCACTTGCGTGTGTCGGGGCCCTTGGTTCTCAGGCCAGTCGAGAACCCGGGAGACTGTGCCTTCACCCTGGTGATGCCCCCAGCAGCCGGCCTCGCTTCCAGGGGTCCGTACACCTCAGCCCCTCTTCAGGACCCAGCCGAGGAGTCTGCTGCCTGGTCCAGATCCTTGGTCTCATGGAGAAGGGGAGGGTGATGTGGCAATGTCTTCTGTTTCGTAATTGATGCCGAGAGTCAACATGAAAGAGCTGGGCCCACAGCCCAGCCCACAGGAATCAGGCTCCGGCCTGTCCGTCGGCACGCCTCCCACGCACCTCCCATGCCAGGCGGAGTGTACCGCGAAGCAGTTCTGAAACGGGCCATTTCAGAACTAAGGCAATTCCTACTGGAAAGGGGTCAGACGGGGTTTTTAACCTCAAGTCTGAATTTGAATAGCTAATGAATCAGAACTGTCGGTCTGACTATTAGGTCCGCTCGGACATGGAGGAGGGAGGGACGGAGGAGGGAGGGGGCAGAGCTCTGACCGCCTGCCGAGTGCAGGTGCCTTGTGCTTGGGTCGCCCAGCCACTCACTGTTCTGGCCGGGCATTTCCACCTCCAAGACAATAGGCTGAGCTCATGCTGCTCTTCCTCCCGCTGCTCTTTTCCTTATCGTGTTTTCATGATGTTGTGATGTGTTCGTCATCGCCCACGCCCACACTCACTTGGAGCCGCCCTGGAATGTTGGCTGCCTGGGTCCCTTCCCTTTGAGTCTCGCTGTGTGGGAGGGAGAGGCCTGGACGGTGAGGTCGCCCCAGAGGAGAGGAACGGCCTTTCCTCAGAGCGGTTCCCGTCGGACAGCAGGCCGTCGGCCAGGTGGGTCTCCTCCCTGGTCCAGGGAATCGTGAGGCACAGCCCTGAGCTGTCACTTGAGCCTCTCGTCGTTCTACTTGGGAACCTTTTCTTGGTAACTGACTGCCTCCTCTCCCTTCCTTCTTGCTTCTCCTTCTCCCTCTGCCCCTTCTCCCTCGCTGCCTCCGAGTCCTCCCTCCTCTCACAGTCTGCTTCTCAGACCCCTTCCTTCACCTTCAAAGGAAGGAAAAGGAGGGGCAACATGCATTGTGTGCTTATTACCATGCTCACACACAGTCTTGGTCATCTCGTTTTAGTTGCTTTTCTTAAGGATGGGGGCCAGGTGTTTGCACTGCCTGGTAGGTAGCGTGCTGGGGTCTGCGCTCTGGATGCCTGAGGTAGGGCAGGGCAGACCACAGGGCAGGACACGCCACCTGCCTGGCACCCTTACACCACTATCCCCCCCCCCCCCCCCCCCCCGTGCAGATTGGCATGGCGAGAACCTCGTCCTTCCTGGGCTTCTGACGTGGGACTGCGTTCCAGGAGCCCTTCCTAAAAAGGGAGGTGGACTTGTTAATGAGGAATTAGCTTATTCTTTCCATTTCATAAATAAGTGCACTAAAAGTACAACAAGGTTTTCAAATCCCACTTTAGATAGCTTCGGGCAAGCAATTCTTAAAATTATTCAGGCTTTGTGCGTTTTTGTGTTGTGTTCCCAGTTGTAATGACTGGTTTCTCTTCCCGGGTTTGGAAATCGGGTGTGTCTTGCCGGAAAGCGCTGTGCTGTGGTGAGGTCCTGTTCACCCAGCGGCGCCATGTCCTGCACTGCTGCGCCCGGGTGCTTAGCCGGCAGCTGTAGAGCAGCCTGGCTGTGACATGGGAACAAGCAACATGGTCATGACAGTTCCTGTGACAGTCTTTTAAAAAAAAGAAACGGTGGAATTAGTTTTATAATGTTTTATGTTACGCGTTATGTCCAAACGTTAGGTCTCCGCATGTGGTGAGTGTGCCTGAAGGAGCTGGTTTAGGTGCTTTTTCCACACTGAGTCTGAGAGCGGGCGTGTCTTTCACGGCTCATGCAGGCGGACAGGTGGCCTGGTGGCTCCGGCCGGGCAGCAGTCTGGCAGGATCTCGGCGGCGTCTGAAAGCTGCTGCAGACATTCCCGGTCGGCATGGCCCGTGCTCATGGAGCTCACACGTCCCTTTGGTTTGTGGAAGGTGATATGGGACATGTAACGGCAAAACGTTGTACCATTCTTAATTAGGAAAGGAGCAGGATTACCATGAAATTTATTGTGTGTATGTTTAAGTAGGAATTAATAGAATTACTTCAATAAGTTTCCTTTCGTTCTTTAAAAAGTTTTTTTTTTTTAATTGATTTCAGAGAGGAAGGGAAAGAAGAGACATCAATGATGAGAGAATCATGGACTGGCTGCCTCCTGCACACCCCACACTGGGGATCGAGCCCGAAACCTGGGCATGTGCCCGACTGGGAATCTAACTCTGGTTCATAGTTTGATGCCCAACCACTGACCATGTCGTGGACATTTTTACAGTGTTGTCCGTGCTGTGGTACCAGTGCACGTAATGACTAGAGCAGCTGCTTCCTTGCCTGCTAATGCGTTCCACACAGCTCGGGCTTCCTCACCACAAGGCTGCGTGCCAAGTAAGGCTGAGCACTTTCTGGTGAACCCACAGCGAGGCTCCGGGAGCTGCGGGCGTGGAGTGCAGGGCAGAGGGCAGAAGGCAGAGCCGGGAACAAAGGAGCTCTGTCCGACATGGGAAAGGGGCGTGGGTGGGCAGGTGGCGGCATGGGAGTCCGGGCCTGATGCTGAGAGCATCGGGCTGACCCATGACACCCGAAAGAGGCCTTGTGTGAAGTAGACAGAAATCGGGGACACGGAGCCTGGTCTGGATCCAGCCCAGTGTTCCAGGGAGGGTTCAGCAGTGTGGCTGTGGAGGATGTGGGGGCGCGGGGCGGGGATGCCGGCATTGTGGGAGTGCGCTCCGGGGGCCGTTCCTCAGACCGGCAGCTCCGTCGGGAGGAGAGTGGCCATGCTTTGCCGGAACTTTCTGAATTGTATACTGTTGTCTTCTGCCTGCTGAAGGGCAGGCTGGGAGGATGCTGTCAGGAGTCTGTCACACAGTCAGTTTTACCCGAATGTTGAACTTGGCTTATTAAGTTCCACATGAATGTAGTATGACAAATTACCTCTCAGAAATGTTACTGGGTTTTAGGTTATTGAAATATGGAGCCTGCTCACTCTAATTTATGTATTATGTTGTCTAAAGCGTAGAGTGGTTATGAAACAGTGTGGCCTCAGAGTTACCCTCAGGTGCTCTTTGTTTTTAATTTTATGGCAAAAGCACCAGGCAGGGACCCAGGTTGCACTTGTTATCGTGTTCTCAGAAGTGGGGCGGGACTTGGAGGGCGTCTAGTGGGCAGCTGGGTGTTCCAGCCTGGGCGCGTCTACAGGGAGGGGCCGGTCGCTGACAACGTCTGGACAGAGGTGTTGGCGATGAGCAGATGGAACCCTGGGGCCGGAGCTGTGGAGGAGCACTGGTCTTAGCTTATATGGGACGTTTATGCACTCAACCGCCAGCCAGTGTGCATACGTGGAGTTTGAAACATGTTGCATCCCCACGCCGAATGCTGTGCTCGGAGAGATGGTCTCTGCCTTCCGGAGCTGCGTGTCCTGGGTCACAGCGGGCGGGCTGCGTGCCGGTGACGGAGAGCAGGAGGCCCTGCCACCTGCTGGGCACTCTCCCAACCGGCACGGTGACCCAGTGGGAAAGGGGTGTTTTGAGTATCATGTCGCGCATCGTCGGAAGATGGCCCAGCGAAGGAATTTGCTGAAATCGCTGTCTTCATAGCTTCCTGTGATGCCGGCCTGGGTTCTGCTTCCATGACACACCTTTCCCGGGGCGCTCGTGCCTGGCACACGGCCCGGCTGTGCACCGGTGCTGCCAGCACCGCGGGCCGTTCCTGCAGGCCACTCCCTTGGCTCCGGGAATCCAGTTGTCTCCTGGCCGTGCTGCCCGAGCAGGACGAGGGGGCCTGGGAGCAGCTGGTGTTCTGCGTCTCAGCAGCCCTGCTCCGGGCAGGCCCTGCTCCGGCCCTCGACTGAGCCACCCCATGTTCTGTGTGGCCCTGACAAGGCCCTCTGCGTGGCTGTGAGGAGTTTGTCTGGTTTAACTTTGAAGGGTAGCGATCGGAGGTCGTTGCTCTCATGTGACATGGTTGACGGTGTATGTCGGAGAGTGGGTTTTAGTTCCCTGCCCTGTGGCTGTCCATCACCAGCCTTAGTTCTGTGTGGGGCTCAGTCTCCTGTCAGCTGACTTATTCCTAATTGATTGGATTTTTAGGAGTAACTTTTATTCATTTGGAAACATAAAATAGGTGCATTTCCTGTTTCTTCATAGTTACCAAGTAGAATGTTAATCTTACTAATATAGTTTATGGCTCTAATTTTCACATGGAAACTAGTACCAGGACTTTGGGAGTGGTGTGTGTATGCTTTGTGTTTGCTCGGCTTCAGTGAGCATTGCATTTTTCCCCGTGTTTTCAATGCAGTGTTTCTTCCTTGTTTTTGCTCAGGGTGCTGGTCAAGACAAACTTGGAATCTATGTCAAGTCCGTTGTAAAAGGAGGTGCTGCGGATGTGGTTAGTATAACTTTTAACAATGTGAATTTTCACATGTCATACTTAACAAATGACACGAGATAGTCCACTGGCATTTTTAATTATAAACATTAAAAACTGCTATTGAAAACCGACAAACAGGACGTGCACTCACCACTGACTTCCCTTTCTCCTTTGGCCTGGGCTGTTCCTCTCGACACGGTGCTCGGCGCACACAGGACGGGCGGCTGGCCGCGGGGGACCAGCTCCTCAGTGTGGACGGGCGGAGTCTGGTAGGACTCTCTCAGGAAAGGTATGGTTTACGTGTTTGCTTTCAGCTTAATGCTCACATTTATAGGGATAGTTCACATTAAAATTGGAATTGGAAGACACAAAATAATGCTAATAAGCTGTGTCCTTACCCTCACCTGTTTAAGAGTAAAACTCTTAGTATACATGACATTTCATGGTTGGCAAAATATAAATATGTATTTTAGTCTGGAGCAGTTTTTGTGAAGTTTAAAAAATATTCGTAACACTTGCTAAGATTCCTGTGCTCCTGCATCCCTCCTGGGATAGTGGAGGCGGGTGTGCAGGTCCTTACAAAGGGGCAGAGGCGGAGGACCCCGCGCAGCCACGCTGGGCTGTGGCCCTCTGACCCCGGGCGCCTGGGGACAGCGGGCAGTGCGCCTCCTCCTGACCCGGCGCTCTCCTCCTAGGGCAGCAGAACTCATGACAAGGACAAGCTCTGTGGTGACACTGGAAGTGGCGAAGCAAGGAGCCATCTATCACGGCCTGGCCACCCTGCTCAACCAGCCATCCCCGATGATGCAGAGGCGTAAGCACTGCCTGGGGAGGGGTGTCTCCATGGGTGACGGCCAAAGGCAGGCTTGCTGGCCACTTTCCGCGGCCTAGCACCTTATGAGCAGGACCTGCTCCGTCCAGTGTCTAGTTTTAAAGAGAAGAAGATGGGATGGCCTTGCGGGAGCCAGGATTCTGGTGTGGACCTGCATCCCCTCACAGCCCGGCCACCTTCCCATGATACAGGACACAGTATTGTCAGTGTAGAAAAGCTCAGGTGTCTGAAGAAGTAATTGTTGGTGGAAACCATGGTTTTGTAGCTACGTCAAGCACCTCAGAATAAAATGTCAGTTTAGGTCTTTACCAAAGAGTTAGTGCAGAAACCACAGGGAGAACCATGGACGCACACAATGCTGTAAGTTATCCGTACCTTACACCTCGGTCAGACTGCCCTGCTGACTGCATGGCCGCACGCCTGGCCTGGGCGGACGGTTTCACTGGAACGAAAAGAGGGTCTGAAAACCATGCGCTGGACTGGACTCCTCGCCTCAACAAATTGTCTACTGCTTTCATGCCGTAATATTTAACATCTTGGTGGCTGAGTTCTCAGTTTACAGTCATTTCAAAGAAGCAAACCAGGCGGAGTTAGAAATCCAAGAGGGGAAATTTAAGCCAATAATAAATCAGGGTCACCAGGCTAGAAGCTAGCAAAACTGAAAAAGTAAAGATAGAACGGCTCATGGAAGGATGTCTGTGACTTCATCCTTCCTGTGTGGTCAGACGGATCAGTGTTTTAAAAGTGGGAGAGTGTGTGTGTTTTTTAAAAAGTTACTTTAAAACAGATTTTGTTACTTTTGTTTCGTTACTTAAAACAGGCAAGTTTATCAGAAAATAAGCTTTGAAAGCATGCCTTTTCCCGTTAATGTCAGTTATGTGTTACTTTATTTGAAAATCTTTCAAAGATTCTATCCGTATATAAAAACCATCATATTCCTTTCACAAAAAACGAGTGTTACCTGTGGAGTTCGAATGTGTGTGTGTTCCTCTTCCTGTAAAAGTGAGTGGGTGGAAAGTGCTCCAAGCAGAGGCCGCCCTGTGAGCCCGCTTTGCTTTCAGTGTCCGATCGCCGAGGCTCAGGAAAACCCCGACCGAAGAGTGAAGGCTTCGAGCTCTACAACAATTCCGCTCCCAACGGCTCGCCCGAGAGCCCCCCCCTGCCGTGGACAGAGTACAGCGAGCCAAGGAAGCTGCCCGGTGACGACCGGCTGCTGAAGAACAGAGCCGATCACCGCTCCAGCCCCAACGTGGCAAGTAAGCATCGCCGGGCCTCCCCGGTCCACGCCAGCCCTCGCCAGGGACCCCTCTGGGACCCTTCTGGGACCCCTCTGGGCAGAGGAACAGCTCTGCTTCCTCGCTGTGGAATGAAACGAGGACTGAGTTGGGAGCCTCTGGTTCAGTGCTACGCCAGGCAGGACCTGACAGTGTCTCCTGGTGGCTCCCACACCAGTCCGGGCTGTTCCTAAGAAAAGGCAGCAGCGTGAGACTGCATGCCTGTCCTGGTCTGTGGTGGGCTGTGCTCTGGGCTGATTGGTCAGGAGGTAGGAGCCCTCGGCATGTCAGCTCTGTGCGGGCACCGTGAAGGTGCAGGCCCCCAGCTGTCCTCAGCACTCATTGGACAGCACCTAGTCCAGGTGCTGGAACCTTTCTGTCCGACTCTCCCCACAGATCAGCCTCCGAGTCCTGGCGGGAAAGGCGCCTACGCCCCTGGGACGGCAGCGAAGATAACGTCCGTCTCCACGGGGAACCTCTGCACGGAGGTCAGAGCCCACCCTCCCCCATGCCTCCTCCAGGCCTCCCTCAAGCCGGCCTGAGCGAGGATGACCCCTATCGGTTCTCTGTCGCTCCGAGGACTCCTTTCTTAGGTTCAGGGGGAATTAACAAGTCAGGGCAGAGTAAGGGGTTCCCATTGCTCTCGGTGTTGGATGAAGCACGTCTCATCTTGAACCGTTTCCACGTGTCTGCACTCTGCTGGGATCAGAGCCCACGCACACGCTGCACAGCGCTCACTCTCCTCCTCGCTGGCATTTTGCAGGAGCAGACACCCCCGCCGCGGCCCGAGGCCTACCCCATCCCCACGCAGACCTACACCAGGGAGTACTTCACCTTCCCCGCCTCCAAGGCCCAGGACCGGGCTCCACCACCTCCTCCTCACGGCCAGTGGTCCACTTACGAGGAGGAGCCGCACGTGCACGTGGACGGCAGTCACCCCAGCCTCGTAGCACAGGTCAGTGGAGAGGGGTTCACACGTGCTCCCCGTGGTAGCCGCCACACAGACCCTCCACGTGGTGAAGACGCCACCTGAGGCCTGGGGCCTTTTGTCCAGTCCTGCTGGCAACATCTGTTCCTCCTGGCTGTGCGGCTGGTGCAGGAACCCGGTTGTGAGGGGGGGGGGGGTAGTACAGGAACCCGGAGGGAAGTGGGGGGGTGCAGGAACCTGGAGGAGGGGATGTGGGGGCAGAAACCCGGAGTGGGTGCGCCAGTCAGAGTTGGTGGCTTTCCTGGCTGTACAGGCAGCAGGAGGCACGGGGGAGACCTCAGGGACGAGCTGGGCGCGGGGTTCTGTCCAGGTGGGTGGAGAAGGGCCGTGGCTCACGGTCAGGGAGGGAGTGTTCTTTGATGTGCTGCTCTCTCCGGGAGATGGCTGGGAGGAGAAGGTACACGTACGCTTCACAGCAGGTGCAGGCCAGGCCACGGTTTTCAACAGGAGTCACACGAGTTTGTACAAAGTGCAGTCCCTGACTAGTCAATCAGGCTCTGACCTCTGTGCCAGCAGCCAACATGACCGCCAACATGTGCCAGCAGTCATCAGAATTACACCTATTTTCTGCCAGATTGGCAAAATGTGTGTTTCTTAGTGTGCCACAGAACTTAGGGATTAATTTGTGCGCACGAGACGAAAAGGATTGAAAATCGCTGGCCTAGACTATAACACGTGTGTCTGGGACAGTGACTTTGACAGCGTCTTTCTTGGGTCAGGGTCAGGGGTTACTGGAGAGCTGAGCCGAGAAGGACCACTGTGGCGGCCCGGGCACGGCAGGCTCAGCCGCGTTCTGCGCTCTCACCGGTCTGGTACCGTGTCCCTGAGACAAAATGTTCATGAGTGTTCAGTAACTTTTTCTAATAAATGGCTGGAACCTGACAGTTTCTTTTTGTCCAGCGAGTGACCCGTTCCCAAGAGGAGCTTCGGGAAGATAAAGCTTATCACCTGGAGCACCATCGTGTGGAGGCCATGATGGACCGCAAGTCCGACAGCGACCTGTGGATGAACCCGAGCTCCTCGGTGGGCTCCAGCGCGTCCAGCCAGGAGCACCTGGACCACATGTCCAAGCCGGGCACGCCCGCCTCCACCCTGACCAAGAGTGGCCCCGGGCGTTGGAAGACGCCCGCCACAGGGCAGCCCGCGCCTGCAGCTGTCCCCCAGCCTGGCCGCACGGACCTTCCCCCACCACCACCTCCGCCTCCCACGCACTATCCCAGCGAATTTGATGGGATCCTGATGGATCTGCCTCTCCCCCCGCCCCCAGCCGGCCAGCTGGGGCCGCAGCAGTCTGCGCAGGCGGCCGCCGCGGAGCGGAAGAAGAGGGAGGAGCACCAGCGCTGGTACGAGAAGGAGAAAGCGCGGCTGGAGGAGGAGCGGGAGCGGAAGCGCCGGGAGCAGGAGAGGAAGCTGGGCCAGATGCGCACGCAGGCGCTGAACCCGGCGCCCTTTTCTCCTGTGACCGTGCAGCCAGCGAAGCCGGAGAAGCCGGCCGCGCTGCCCAGGCCCCAGGAGACGGTCATCCGGGAGCTGCAGCCCCAGCAGCAGCCCCGCACCATCGAGCGCAGGGACCTGCAGTACATCACCGTCAGCAAGGAGGAGCTGTCCTCCGGGGACAGCCTGTCCCCCGACCCCTGGAAGCGCGACGCCAAGGAGAAGCTGGAGAAACAGCAGCAGCTGCACATCGTGGACATGCTGAGCCGGGAGATCCAGGAGCTGCAGGGCAAGGCCGAGCGCAGCGCCGAGGAGAGCGACCGCCTGCGCAAGCTGCTGCTCGAGTGGCAGTTCCAGAAGCGGCTGCAGGAGTCCAAGGAGAAGGACGAGGACGACGAGGAGGAGGAGGAGGACGTGGACACCATGCTGCTCACGCAGCGGCTGGAGGCCGAGCGCAGAGCCCGGGTAAAGGGGCGCGGAGGGGCGGCGGGAGGACTAGTGAGGCCCCTAGAGATGGACCAGGGGACGGCGACAGTGCTCAGGCATGCCCTTTGAAGAGTGTGAAGCCAGCCCAGTAGGACTTCACTTTAGCTAACTACCTTCTCCAGCACATGGGTGAAGAAAGGGAGGGAGCAGCCAGGAGCTTGGTGAAGGCTGGCAGGACCCGTTCTTAGGTAGGTGGTGGGCGTGGTGGGCCCACAGACGGCCTCGCGAGTGGGTTGAGAGCCGCCAGGCCTGTTCACGGGGGGCAGCACGGGGTGGGCAGCAGGACCCCATTCGGCACCAAAGCCAGGTTTCGCCTGGTCACCAGCAGCAGGCTCCCGGGGCAGCCACAGCGAGGGCAGGGGCAGTAACAGGCCTGAGAGCAGCGGGCTCTCCTTCCTTCCTTCCTCACGCACACCTCACTGTGGTGCTCGCAGCGCATACGAGGAGAAGAGCAAAGTACTGTAGTCACAAGTGACATTGCCACACGCCAGCTCTGAGGGGTTTTGTTGGCCACTCACAAGAGCCACGGGCAGAGGCCTGGATCAGCACGGTGTGCAGAGTGCCACTGGCCCCTCAGGCTGGTGGCTGGAGTGGTTTTCCTTCGTGCACTGCCTGTTTCGAGGAAGAGCCGAGAGCCTGTCCTTTTGTCTTTTGGATTTTGTTTCTAATCCACTTTGGTTCGGTGCTGTCCATACAGTGGTCTGAAGCAGTAGCTCAGTGAGACATGCCCCCCCACACCGCGCCACCCCCCCGGCCCAGTCAGCGTAGAGGGGAGCTCGCCCACTCCCACACACATGCAGCACTCAGGCCCTCACCAGAGGCACATACACACACGCAGGCACAGCATGCACACACATGCACAGCACGCAGACCCTGCCAGGGGCACACACAGCTTTGCCCAGAGTTCAGGTGGAGCCCCTCTTGGGACACGAATGTTTCCGAAACCAAGGCCTCGATGCTAACTATTCCCTGTTTGATTGGCATTTCCAGCTCGTCAGAATGAGCTTCCTTCCGAGTGACTCTGCCATCAGTGCGCCTCACGCACTAGTAACAGTTGGCATGAAGGCCCTGGCCTGCAGTGTAACTCGCCAACCGGGCGCCTGCACAGGGCGTTTTCCTCGGCCGGCCTCTGTCACTAGTGGACACGTGACAGGCGGGTCAGTAATTACACGTTTCTTCATGGAAAGCCTGTCAGCTGAGCCTCTGTGAATTGTGATATCAGAACATTTCTTAGGTTTTAGTTAGAGGCACCTGCATATATACTGCTGACCTCACATTGAGGTTAACACCTTAGTCTCCAAGTCATTTAGTTACCGTGTGTCTTAGCCAGGAGTCGAAGTGTTAGTTTCTGAAAACCAGAGACCAGCCCGCAGCCCCTCGCTCACCACGGGCCCTTCAGGAGCAGGAAGCAGGAGCGCGAGGCGCGCTGGTGGTGGGACAGCGGGCTAACTCTCTCCCTCCTCTCTCTCTCCCTGCCACCTGCAGCAGACTGCTGTGCCCGCAATCTCTGTTCTAGATTTGGTATGTGCTCGTTCCTGTCCCCCTCCTGTCCTGGCTCCCTTCCTCCGGTGGCGTTTGTGTTTCCAGTAGCTGCAGCCCCGTCCTGACCAGCCTGTCGTCGTGACTCTGAGCATGCCTTTGACTGTTCTGACCTTCAGTTTTCCTTTGCTTTTCTCCTTTCATTTTGTGTAACTGTTTGTGGTTTTGACCTTTTCTCACTTTCAGTCTTAAAGTTGATTTTGTGTATTCTTATTAGTCACAAACATATGAGCAAATGAAAAATGTTTGCAAAGAGTAATTCATTTCATTCTTGTTCATCAGGAGTAGGTTTTCAATATTGAACTACTAGAAACTCGGTCGAACGGTGTGGACGTTGCCCGTTCAAAGGTCACTCTAGGATGTGAGAGACCCCCGTGAGCATGTGTGGCTTCCCCAGTGCAGTCCTGGGGACGCCGGGCTGGCGTCAGCGTCCACTCTGTGCGACTTGGTGGGTGTAGTGTTGGCGTTGGTCACCCAGTGCCCATCATGCGTAGCTGCCGTCTGCCATCTGCCAGGCAGTCGTATCGGCTTTAAGTCAGCATTTGTTCACCGGCTTTTCAGTGATAGGCCCGTGTCCGGTAACAGCTCAGGCTTGACTGGAATGGCCTTTTCGCCAATTGGCCGCCTCTCCTGCCTTTCCCTGGATTCCAGCAGACAGCCTGAGGGGTCCCTCCAGAGAAGGCCCCTGGGGCTGGAAGGGGTGTTTCTGAGCCTCACTTTTGTACAAGACACAGGAGGAACGTTTTCCTCTCCTTGGTGCTGAGGCTCACACGTCTAGTGCAGAGCCTCCTTCCATCAGTGCACACGGGCCCTCCAGGTTTCAGGGTGCTCACGAGGGAGTCCCTTCCCCCATCCGCTCCACCGCTGCCTCCCCTGGCAGAGATTCTGCTGGCTGCTCCGTCCCATAGGACCTCAGCCACGGTTCTCTGCTGATACGTTCTCCGGATCTGACCCTGTCACGCCCATGTGGCGTGTCCCTGAGTGACGCAGGAGCCCCCTTCCCGAACCCTGTTCCCTTTGTAGGCCAATCTCTACACAGCAGCCACAGCGAGCCTGAAAAGTACATCACCTGTCAGAGTCTTCTGAGCCCTTCTCCCTGCCACTCAGACATCTCGAGTCCCCACGGCCTCGGGCTGTGTCCTGTCCTTGCCCCACGCTCAGGTCGGCCTTTCTTCACGGCGTCTCGGGTGGAGGGTGACATCCCCTAGTTTCTCATGGCTCACGTCTGCGGGGCAGCTGGCCCTTCTCCCTGAGGCCGGCAGCCCAGAGGCCACACCCCCTCCCAGCAGCCCGGGCGATGGGGAGGACAGGCCAGCCCACCCAGCACACAGTCAAGTTTCCCACCAGGTTTTCCTGAGTTCCTGTTGGTGCTCTTTCTGCCCCGCAGACACCTGCTTATAAGCTCCACTGCTAGGGACGTCCCTCGGCGAGAAGTTACCTGGCTGACTGGCTCTCCATGGCCAGGCCCAGCTTTGTCCTGTGGCCAAGTGAAGGGTTTCCTCTCTGAGGCCCCTCCATCTTTCAGAGACATCGGGCTCTGCAGTTCCTCCTGGGATGACCCAGCGAGACCCTCCCTCTGGCGGCTTTCCTGTCGAGTCTGACGTGTGGCTGTGGGAATGGGCACCCTCTAGCATCCAGGCACGGAAGGGTAGATACAGAACAGAAGAGCTTCAAGCGGGAATGAGCAGGGACCTCCTCGAAAGCTGCCCCTTCAGAGGGGCCGTGGCGGGCTGGCTTCTGTCTGTCAAGGTGGAGGGACCTGGGAGTGGGATTGGCCTGCCCGGAGGCGAAGGGCTGAGGACAGGCAGGCGCCTCCTCCGGGAGTTAGGAGGACACTGTCGGGGCCACGCCCTCCGTGTGTGTGGGAGTCAGATCACAAGGTCAATGTGATTGTGGAAATGGCACAGTCGCCCTGAAAGGGCTCTCAGCCGCTCCACCTGCCCAGGTCCTGCTGCTGTGCCTCTGCCACTGAGGGTGTCCACAGCTCCTGACCAAAGATTTCTCTCTGATTCTGTCTCAAGCAAAGGGGCGTGGCCTCTGCCCGCCCTATGGTGGGAGGCCTCCCACCTTGTCCCCGGGGAGTGGTTTTGTCCTGGGGAGCGTTCTCTCCTCTCCCCTCAGTGGTAGCTGTGCGCCCTGCCCCGGGTTCGGCAGGCGCTGAGGCGAGCAGGGTGCCTGCGGGGAGTGCTCCGATGGGGATGCGCTGCAGAAGGCTGCAGGGAAAGGTTTCTTAGGGACAAAGTGCTTATTAACAGACTGTCTTTTTAGTAAAAATGTCAGAAGGTGAAGTGTAAATTAAAGGCACAAGTGAATGAGATTTTAGGGATAAAGTTAAACACACACACATCTCTACACGTTCTCCTTCTCTGACCTGGAAGTACCTGTGAGAGGTGTGGGCGGCCAGCAGAGCGAACAGGGTCAGGCCGTGTCCGCGCTCTGACTTCCCCAAGCTCCTTGCTGAGGGTCATATAGTCTGTGCGTCGTGATTCCTGCCGTAATGGTTATTATAAGGCGTCCAGATACGCTCCTCCAAAGGGGACTGCCAGCCGGCGCTGACCATGGGACTGCCGTTCCTGAGCTCTGACGTAAATTAAGGGGTTGTGTAGTCTCCTTCTATCACTAGGGGGTTTGTTTGGGGACCGTTGTAAAGCTGCCTATCTTTCAGGGAAAAAGCCGCCTGGGATTTGAAAACAAAAGTACTGTGTGAAGCCTCGTAACAGACCGGGGGGGGGGGGGGGGGGGTACGGCACCCTGGCCTTACTCTACAATGGCAGCCCCGGAGCCACACGGCGGCTCCTGCCCGCAGGATGGAGAGAGGGAGGATTTTTAGGAGGAAATGTCTGCTCATAGGCTGTGGGGAGCACTCGTGCTCTCGTTTGGAGAATCATAGTCGTCCGACACCACATCACTCTCCCATCCAGGTGCCCATGGGCTGTTGGAGGTGTTGTGTTCCTGCTCAGAACTGTTCTCCGTCAGGCCCGGCGTGTACCACTGAACGGGTCTGTGCTCCGATTGGGGAGCGCAAGTGCCTCTGTCGCACTGATGCAGGCTACCTCCTTCCGTAAAGCCTTTCTGTCGCATGTTCAGCGTTGGCTGTGGTTTCGCTTTCTTTTTGTCGGGGTGCTCTTGTCGTCCTTTGTGCTGGTCACCCCCTGCAGGGAGCTCCTGGTGGTAGGCCCGGGTGCCCCTGGAGCAGGCACTCCGCCGCCTCTTCCTCGGGGCCCCTTCCTTCTTTATCCGTAGCTCCCTTTCCTGCTTCAGAAGTCCCCAAGAGCCGCACCCTGACACCCTGGCTCACCCCAACCACACTGACAAGGAAGGTCGGGGGCTCTGCGTGGTGGAACCTTAATCTCTTTCTGAGATGGTCATTGTGTGTGACAGGAAGCAGCCTGGTGGCCGGGCCTGGCGCTTCCCCACCAGGACACAGTGTTCTTCCCAAGGTCACAAGCCAGGGCTAGCTTTGTGTAAAGAACAATGCTCGCACACCGGAGGGAACTCACGACGGGGTAACTAGCTCCACAGATGGGCTCCACACCCGAGGGAGCTGTGTGAGGTGGCTTCAGGCTCGGCTCGCTGCAGCGCCTTGGGGAGGGGGGGAGCGGGGGAGCGGTGCGCTGTGCCACCGGCGGATGGCCTTAGTCCCCGTAGAGAAGGTGTGTCTCTGCAGTGAGTCGCAGAGAGACGCAACCAGGAGGTGCAGGAGCTGAGCCCAGCAGGTCTGTCGAGGTTGAAGGTCCTCAGGGTTTGAACGGCTTGAATAGTGGGAAGGGAGATGAGATGGCGAGCAGGTGATGGTTTAGGACAAACCTTGTGGTAGGCAGTTTCCTGGAAATAGGATGTGTGGTCTGGCGGTGGTGGTAGTGGCCTCGTGGTCATCCAGGCAGCACAGAACGGTTGGCCAATGTAGCAGAGCGAGTTGGAAGAGGGTCCCCCATAGTTCCCATCACCTCTGGGACCTGGGTGGGATCTCCTGGGCAGGGAAGGGCTCATGGAGTCCACGCCGGGTCCAGGGGAGCGGGTGGCCGAGGGCCAGTGTGGGAAGATGCTAGAAACGTGGTCCCAGACCAGGTGCACGGTAACCCTGCTCATGGGCCCGGGCTGCCCCCCACAGGCCGCCCCCCACCACAGGCCAGCGTTTATCTGCCACCTGCCGCCGTGCCAGCTTCTCTCCTCGCTCGTGTGGGAACTAAAACCTACACGGACGAGGCTGGTGAGGTGTCCATGGAGCCACGACTTGGGGTGTCTGTCGTTTGTGTGTGTTAGGGATGAGCTGGTTAACATGACGACTCGTGTGGAAGAGCCGTGCTTGTCTGAGCGGGATGTGTGAGCGCAGTCATCTCTGCACGCGGCCCTGTGGGCGAGGGCGGGACGGCTGGAGGCGGCCGCGTGCAGTTGCCGCGTTCAGTGTGATTTGTCCCTCAGCCCTGCTTTGACCCCGTGTCCGTGTTGCTCTGTGTGTGCGTCTGCGTGTCGCGGTGTGCGCTGTGTGTCTGGAGGGCCCGGGGCTAAGGTGACTGTGCTGTCAGTTGCAGGACGAGGAGCGGCGCCGGCAGCAGCAGCTGGAGGAGATGCGGCTGCGGGAGGCGGAGGAGCGCGCCCGGCAGGAGGACCAGCGGCTGCGGCAGGAGGAGGAGCGGGGCCGGCGGGACGCCGAAGAAAAGGTTATGGTCCTCTAGGCGGGCGAGCGTGCGGGCGGAGGGGGCGCCCCGCCGCTCCGGCCTGCCTCTCCTCAGCTGTCTCCGACTCCTTGCTCTCTGCGTCTCTGCCTTCTGAACCCGGGCCTGTTCCGGCGGGGCCGCTGTCAATGGAGGTGGTGGCTCACCTCAAGTGGAGCGGTGGGAGCAGCAGGGACGTAGCCAGCGGCCTGTGAACACTGCGTCTTCCTGATAGCTCCTCCTGTCATTGCTCCGCTCTGGTTGGTACAGAGCAGGCGGTTCGTGAAGCCATGGAACGAGGATGCTCTGACTTACCACTTGGTTTCCACCTGTGGGTTGTTTTAACCCAAGCAGTCCTTCCAACAGAACTTACATGAGGGCGCTTTCAGCCTGTTCTGGCGGGGGGGTAGGGCGTGGGGGGTCTGGGCGTTGCTTCTGTCGGCCTGCAGGGGAGGCTCCGCCGCCCGCGTGCTGGGGCAGCCGTCCTCGGCCACTTCCCTTCTGTGAAGGTGGAGCTCAAGAGCCACGACTTCTGATGGGGAAATCTTGTTTTTGTTACAATCCCTTCTTTGATAGTCCTGTGACCTGTACCCATAGAGCCCCCTCCCGCCCCAAGAAAGGACTTGCAGGAGCTGAGAGAAGGAGGCTGGACGGGGCTCCTGCAGGGACCGGAGAGTCAGGGCGGTGAGGGGTCTGCCTTCTGTAGGCCCTTGCTTTCCTGGAGCCTCTCCTGCTCCCGGGTCTGCACAGCCGCGTCCCGGCAAGCTTCCCATGAGGCCCGCGTCTTCCCGGGGCGATGGCTCACGGGTCGTCCCCAAGGAGCTCAGGTTCCAGAGGTGGAGCCCCGGACCGTCTGTGTGTGTGACGCTGCCCCCGCTCCCTGCCCCAGCGCCAGGCGGCATCCACGCTCCGCTCCATGTGGGGCCGAGGGCAGGTCTGTGCCCACACTCTCCCTCTGCTGCCGGCCGCACCCAACACTTCCTTTCAGCACTGCTTCTGTGCTTGAGTGGCAGCATGAAGAGCTGAATAACCTTTTTTATGCAGAAAGTCCAAAATGGATGGGTTTGCTTTGTTACAGAAAGATGCTGGGTAGAGCAAAGGCTTTTCAGGCCTTGCAGTCAGACCTGCTCCGTTGCAGGAGGGCGTGCTGGGGCTCTGGCACAGTGCCCGCTGCTCTCGCCTAGGCCCGCAGAGCCCCAAGCTCCCCCTGCATCTGGTCCCACACCCCAGCGGGACACCTATTTTGTGAAGAAATTTAAAAAGATCGTCCTTTAGTACGTCTCCATGTAGACTAAGAAGGTAGAGTGAGACATCGGGCCTGGCGTTGGCTTTTAGTGTTCTCCAAAGGCATGTTCCCTCGCTATATGCGTGCTGTGTGCACGTGTATGGTGTGGTTGTGGGGTCTGTCCGGAGGCAGTAGGGGTACTACCACTGGAAATGGGGACTAAACACGTTAATCCTGACGCCAGCAAGGTCCCCAAATCTCCTTCTTTGGTTGAGTGAAGTGAAAAACGTTGTACTCCGTTCTGTAGCGTTACCCATTCTCGTTAAGGCCGGTTATTCTGTTTGTTCTCTCATTGCCTTTCTCACTTACTTTTTCTTGTGTTCTAAGGCTTCTGTCAATCTAACAAAACTGTGTTGTTACCTTTTTTAATGTTTTAATAATTTTAACACTGTCAACTGGAGTTTTTGCAGATGTATGTTAGAAAATGTATGTGTCAAATATATTTGAGTATCTTGTTGCTGTTGCTCTGCTTTCCTGTCTGTCGGGGACTGAAGACCTGAGTGCAGGCTGAGAAGCGGAGAGAGTGTTTGTCAGAGGCGCTTTGGGGCGTGAGCAGTGCTGCTCGCAGCGGTGCTGACCTGCTGACCCCGAGGGACAGAGATGAGCCAGAGCAGGGCCTCGTGGGGAAGCACTCAGCCAGTTCAGGGAGAGCGTGTAGGTGCAGGAAACGGAGCCTCTTGCTGGGTGGTTCTGTCTCTGAACAGTGACAGGTAAGTGACTATCAGAACAGAAACTGGAGAGGGACAGAGGCCTAGAGTAGCAGTGGAGAGGGAGCGGCTGGACTGTGACGGGTAAGGGGAGAGGGATGGAGCACCTGGGAGCTTCTTCCTTCTGTGCTGTGGGCAGTTTGATGTCCGGGACTCCAGACAGCATGGAGGTGGGCGTGAGGCTCGGGTGCCTGTCTGCGGTCGATCTACCCGTTTCTGTCCTTGCTCTTCCTTCTTCGCACTCTCATTCGTCGTCAGTGTGGCCCTGGGCTGGGACTGATCAGCCATTGCTGCCCCGCAAGGCCCAGCGGGGTGGCTGTGGTCCCTCTGACCTTGTCTGACCTTTGCACGTTTCTGTTCCGCCTACAGAGGCGACAGGAAGAAGGGTATTACAGCCGCCTGGAGGCCGAAAGGCGCCGACTGCACGACGAGGCGGATCGCAGGCTGCTGGAGCCCGAGGAGCCGGCCCTGGGCAGGCCTCCGCTGCCACGGGGTTACGAGCCCACATCCCTGCCTGCCCCGGCGGGCGCGCCGCCCCCCCCACCGCAGCGCACCACCTCCTCCCTGCAGGCGCAGGCCCTGTCCCCCGACTCCCTGTACACCGCCAAGCTGGTCGCCTACACCGAGGAGGAGGAGGAGGAGGAGCGCCCCGCAGGTCAGGATGAGTGCTCCCGCTCCAGGACGCCGCGCGGGCGCCTGAGGCCGCGCCCGGCCTCCGATGGCATTTTCCTCTCCGCCTCCTCCCAGCTGCTTCTGGCCAGTGCCAACAGTGCTGCCCGCACAGCAGGCCAGCCCCCGCCCCCTCCGAAGCCAGCAGGCTTCGACCATCTGGGCTGCGTTAGGGCCAGAGGTAAAGGGCGGGGCCGGTCCTCCCTCCTGTCTTGCTGATTGGACCTTGGCATCTGCGCGCTGGAGTATGGTCCGTCTGGGCCACCTCGCTGGGCATCTGAATCAGCTGATCAGTGGGCTCAACATGGGGACCTCCCTCTGCCTCGATTGCAGTGTCTGCTCCTCTCCCTGTGATTCGCACTCTGAAACCCCTCTCCTCACCCCCACAGCAATCAGGCCTCCTCCCTCCTCGGTCGTGAAGTACTGTTGGTTTTGGCCTTCATTCCTTGCCTCTTGGAGTGATTGCTCTGTTAGGTTGATCATGTGCCCTTTTCCCACTTTTGGTGTCTAAAGATAAGTTCCTCTTATTAACAATCACGTGCACATTAGCTTTCTGCTATTTAACGTAAGCTGGTTCTCTGCTCTGGACCATGGCTTGTGGGGGTGCAGCAGTGGCCGAAGGCCAGGCCCGAGACCAGGCCACTTCCTCTCATTGCCTTCCCTCCTCCAAGCTCCACAGCGCTGGCAGCAGCCCTCGAGGGCACACGCTGGCCTGGGGTCCTGCCAGTGCCCGGACCAGGCCACGGTGCACGTTCAGGGAGCATTGTGAGCGGCACTGAAAGTGAATTAACAAGTCCTAAGGAATCAGGTGTCAGGCTCATCCCAGTGCCAGCACAGAATTGGCGTGTGGGCCACGCAGCCTCGGATCACGCCCTCAGCTTGAATGAGGGCCATCTTCTGTGGACTCCATGTGGCAGCACCTGGACTCAGGATAGTTCCATAGGGAGCGGACTAATCAGAACCTATGGGCCCGTGGCTCGTGTCACGTGGCTCCTGTGTCAAACGTGGCTCCGCCAGGTCTTTCTCAGTGCTTAGCCACTTGGAAGGCTCAGTGAGTAATGTATAGGTTGAGTCACTTGGAAACCAAAACTTAATCTTTTTATCAAGTTTCTGTTATAAATAGGTGATATCTTTAAGACTTTTAAGAATTTTTTTTAAAATCCTTCCCTGGGGATATATATTTAGAGGAAGGGAGGGAGGGAAAGAGAGAGAAATCAATCAGTTGCCTCCCTCACACCCCCGACCGTAGATGGAACCCACAACCTTTTGGTGCAGGGTTCCAGCCCACAGCCGCCAGCCAGGGCAGGAAGAGGGTAGGTACACTGTGCAGCGAGATGCCTTCAGCCCCGCACAGCACATGGCCAATGGACTGAAATGCCTGTAAATGCTGGACACAGCTAAGGAGGAGGCTGGGTAGCAGAAATGGTGGCCGAGTCTCGCTCTAACCACCTTGGCTTCCAGTCACACCACTAACCCATCTGGTCTTACGCCTGACACGTGGGACAGGTCGCTGTGCCGCTCCTCTGAGCATTCCTCGCTCCGAGAGCACGGGGTGGGGCGCCCTCACTGCCCGAGTCACGTGCCCTCCCTCAGCTCTGGCTATGCAGCTGGACCCACTCCTGCCATTCCTTCCACTGGGTGCCATGCAGACAGGGCGGGTCAGAGGTCAGCCTAGCCCTGCTCGGCGTTCTCTGCAAGATGTTCGATGTGTGTTGTCCAGTTCCTATACTCTGATTACCTGGAACTTCTGAAAAGTTGGTTTTTACCAGTGGAAGGAACATTGCCATTCTTAACAGAGCCCAAAAGATACACCGCTTTGGAAACAAGCAAGATGAGTAAAATTTACAATTAAAATTAAACAGTTCTGTGCAGATAGTTTGCCAGATGGCTGCCGTGGATTGGCTAGAGTTAGAGGTAGCTCCTGTGGGGTCTCTGAGTCTTTGCTGAGGTGACCTGTACGTGACCCTGGGAAACGCTCTGCGCAGCAAGTGGGTGCAGGCCCAGAGGAGCCGCTCCCGCGGGGCGGGGGCACCGATTGCCGAGCAGCGCCTCTGATGGCAGACCCCATCCCAGCGACGAGCAGTCCATGGCCTGTCCCATCCCGCCCCCTGCTCTCGGTGCTGTGCCGCCTTGTCACGGGCAAGTTTTAAGTGGGATTCTCCCTACATAGGAAGACAGCGCGTCACGTATGACGCTGAACAAAAGGTCATGGGCCAGACGAGCTTACTCGGATGCCTTTCCGCCTTGGGCTGCTTCCTCTGTGGTCTTCCCGGCCCCGGCAGAGGGCAGGCGGGCTGCCAGGCCGGTGCTGCTCACGGCTGTGTCCGTGCAGCCGGCCATTTGTGCCTGCGGACTGTGTCCATGCCAGGGACCTTGGCAGCCCATTCGTTTAAAAAGTTTGTTTAATAATAACAGCCACTATTGTGGGGGAAATGAGTAGCTGCCCGAAAGATTCACTGCAGTCCTGCAATTCTGTGGGTCCCGTGTACTCGGTGACATTGCAGGAGAGTTCTGCTGCCCCCCAAGGCCCTCTTCTGTGGGTTCTTCTCATGGGTCTCTGATCTCTGTGAACTTACTGATCAGAACTTGTAATCATTACCAGCTACGGCCTGTGCTGGCTTCTCTGTCCCCAACGGGCTGGCCACAGCTGAGAGCAGTGATTGGATGGCTCAGGCCGTGGACCACTGAGGGAGCTTTCATCTGATGGGAAGCGCTTTCGCTGTCTTCTTTCATAGCTTGAAATGCCTGATTCTTCTGTGGGCGCTGTGCCCTTTCCATGAGCAATTTCTGAAATGATGCAAGTGCTTTAACGCTGACTTTTCTCTTCTGGAAAGGACCGAACTCCTTCACGGGATCTGCTGGGACGCTGGCCGGTGCTCATGACACCTGTCGGGACCCAAGAGAGAAGCCGTCCAGAAGGTAATTTGCTCCTCCCCATTGGCATGAGGCTCACTGGCCTCGGACTCCACGGTCTGTCGGTCAGGTGGGCGCCAGTGCACCGAGCTCCGTGCCTGCGGCTTCCCGCTGTGGGTGCTCCCAGGTATCAGACAGTGGGGTGGGCATGGGCACGGGCTCAGAAGCAGTGCCATGTGTTTCTGCGGGTTCCAGGGTGGGCCCTGGCGGGATTGCACCCGCCACCCAGAGGAGCACGAACCACGGACTGCCGCCCTGCATGTCCGCACAGGTTCTCGTCAGACGTGCTGTTGCCCAAACAGCTCTCAGAACGTAGAGGTTGAGTAAAACCAGTCGGTAGCATCTTCAGCCGTTTCCCACTCAGTGAGGGGCAGGTGCCTCAGGCCGGAGGGCACGCACACGCTGTGCTTTGAGTGCCCCAGGGGAGTGGCACGTGGAACGCCTGCTGGCCGCGGGCTTTGGCCAAGGCTGTGACCAGAGAGGTGACTGTTGGAGGAGGAGGAGGAGGAGTTTTGCCCTGTCTCCTCCGTGGACTGACTGAGCATTTACTCACGTCAGAGCAGGGTTTAACTGAGAGTGAGTCTCTTACTGAGCTGCCCCAATGTTAAATGACTCCTTGTTGTTCCCATGGTGACAAGTAACCTTGTGCCTCCCCACTGCAGCCAGGAGGCGGGTGTGCCTGGGGGCACGGGAGGCCCGGAGAACCTGACCTTCAGGGAGCGCCAGCGCCTCTTCTCCCAGGGCCAGGACGTGGCCAACAAGGTGAAAGCCTCCCGCAGACTCACGGAGCTGGAGAACGAGCTGGACACCAAGTGACGAGGAGGCCCTGGGCGTCGCCCAGGAGCGGCTGGGGTTCAGGATGCTCAGCGGGAACTCTGATCACCGGCGAGGCCACGTGCCCAACGGAACACTGGGCTCCTAGTGACCTGCTCCCTCCGAGACCGTCTGTGGGTCTCTCAGCCTGGGTGGGGGTGGTAAGGGGTATGCTGAGGCTGCTCCCTTCTCCCAGGAGCTCCGAGTCCTGTTTCTCTTTCTCGGAAGCCTGTTCCCACCTCGAGAACAGCTTGAACTACCGAGGACTGTGCACTATGGGGGCAGCTAGCTGTAGAGGCCAGGGTCTCTGCCTGGAGAACAGCCTCCCTCCTGCTCCTCAGGTGCAAGCCCTCTGACCCGCTTACCTGTTTGGTGGGAACTTTCTCAACCGAACATTTTGAGGCTTTAAGCTTAGGCAGTTTTATTTTTATAAAGGCCAGATTACTTATATTAAACCACTGGTGATTCTGAAGATGGCGGTTAGCGTTAGGACGCTGACTATTTCCATGCCGAGGGGATCGTGCTGAGGGAAAGGAGCAGGTGTGGGGAAGAGTCCCGGGGAAGGTGGGGGGCGAGGAGCCGCCGCTGCTCAGGGATTTTCCATTCGCCGAGGACACCGCGCCCGGGAGGCTCTGCCCGGCCCGCTCCCGTCCTGAGGACTGTGGCAGTTCAAGCTATTTCTGTGCACTCGGGTAGGATTATTTAATTTCCATTGGTTGAATTATTAGTTACACTGTTTCTTCAGCTGTGACTGGCTGATGTCGGGAGAGACGGACCTCACTTTGGTTTCTCTTTGTGATGTTAAATGGTAAATTACTTGTGATTATGAGCAAATTTCCTCTGGACAGAGCCCTGAGGCGCGGTCAGTAGGAAGGCTTTTCTGTACCAGGCTGCCCTCAGAAATGTGTGTTAGAAACCGCACACTTCACAGGGGGAGGGGCTTCCGGTCTGGGAGCCTGGGTGAGCTGTAGGGTCGTGTCCACAGCTCTGCTTCGGGGGGGAGTGTGAGGTTGGCGGAGGGGCTTGGTGGCTATGAAGGATCGCTCGGTGCTGGCGGCTGGAGATCAGGCTCCTCCCAGGCACCTAGAGACATTGGCAGCCTCACGGGGCGAAGCTCACCGTCCCCCAAACGATGCTGCGGACCAGCTGCTGTTCTGTCCCACGGCCAGGCCCGCGCCGCCTGCACGTGCACGGCTGCGGGCCCTGCACAGGTGGCGGCTCCGCCCGCTGCCCTCCAGGCGGGCCGGCCTCCACGTCTGCACTACTGCGGCCCATCAACTGCTGTAGCTTCCGTCCTGCTGTATCCAGCCCAGCCTGTTTTTAATAAACTTCGTGCCTATTTAAGTGCATTTGCTGCTGTTGGTTTTATAGCATGGCCAGATTATGCTTATGACACCAGCCTCCTTCCCCACCCCCTCCTGCCTGCCTGTCATGTCATTCACTGAGCAGGAGCCGGTGCCCGGCCTTCGGCAGTGCTCCCGGGTGGCCCCGAGGAGCAGGCAGATGCAGTGGGACCGCGGTGGGGGAGAGGGGGCACAGGCTCTCATGTGGGGCCCCTCACTCGGCCAGCAAAGGAACACTGGTTCCGTGTCCCCACAGCAGGTCCCAGTACACGTGCAGCTGGTGACGTGATCGGAGAGCGCCACAGGGTTTCGACAGGTCGAAGCCTCGGACTAACGAGAGGGCAGTCCTCTCTCTCTCTCGGCCTCGTGCAAGCCCTCCCGGCACCGTGATGGCCAACAGCTATGGTTGTGAGCACGAACCTGTTGTCCGAACACGTGGCCCTACGTGCATGTAGTTGAGGATCGAATCCCATGAGAATGCTGTAAGCATCTTGACCACGCCCTTACTTTGCCTCGTGGCATCGGCTATAAAACAAAGACGGCTTGTAGCCCGTGACACTGTCGCTAGCTCTCCGTCAGAGAGGGCAGGGTCCCACCAGACCCAGCTTTGTTCTCATCCGTCTTTTCTCAGTCCTCACCGCCCTCTCAGGCTCACTGAGCCCGGCTGAGCTGGCGCAGCACCGAAGGCGGCCTGGGCTGAGCGGCCATGGCTGTGCCGGCTCCCCAGTCCTGGAGAATGAAATTCTTCCCTTCAGGGAGCAGGGGCTGCTGAGGCGGAGGTTCTGTGCTCTCTTTCCCCCCTACCCCCCAGGCAGAGAGGCTGCTGAGTCCAGAGCCTGGCCTGGCCTGGAGCCCTGGCAGGGACATGTGGTGGGCGATGGCACCCTGGTGCTGGTGTGAGCGGTCTGACGGCAGGTGGCAGGACGTGGGCAGGGGGGCCATCGGGGAGCAGCCTTCCTCTAAACAAGCCCCTGGCGCGGCGCCTGGTCGTCTTGCTTTCTCACGTGGCCGTGGAGGCCGTGGGGCGGAGGGCTCACCTGCCTGGTGACGTGCTGGCTTCCCCGTGGACATTAAAGGTGAACCAGAGCGGGAAGCACTGAGGTTAGCGGTGGCTTTGGAGGGTGCTGCTCCCATTCACCCGGCAGCCCCACGTGCAGCCAGCTTGATGGCACACAGAGCAGGCTGGGGACCAACCACGGGAGCCCAGCGGGCAGGGGCGCGGGCGCAGGCCCAGGCCCATGCATCTTGGTTTTGTTTGTTCCTTCGTCTCGATTTCTGTTAAGTATCGCCACCTGGACACGGATATGGTGAAGAGGAGCCGTGGAATGGCCCACAGCTGGAGGGCTGTGGCCACAGAGGGACAGTCAACGAGCCCGATCTCAATCACATGGAAGGAAGCTCTGCCCGGCTCCCCTCCAACCAGTTCCCCACCTGTGGCCCCAGAGGGACAGGGGGCGCCCCGCGGGAATGGGGGCAGGCCGCCCGTCCCTCCGAGTGATGCCTGACCAGGCAGGACCCCCAGGGAGCCCCGTGGAGCGTGGGCGGGACCCCGTGTCCCTGAGCCCCTGCCCTGGGCCAGCTGTCCTGGGTCCCCGCCCCACCGTGGGCAGGGGGGCAGGGGGCAGGGGACAGGGGCGCAGGGCGGTCCTGAGCCCCTCAGCAGGCAGAGCTGCTCCAGACACCGCCTGGCGCTGGGCGTCACTGAGGACAGATACCAGCGAGGGGGGCTCCCTGAGGGGGAGGAGAGCCCGGAAGGCAGCCATGTCTGAGTCCGCAGCTGCCATCAAGTTTGGAAAAGATGAAGGTGCAGAAGCCCAGGAGGAAGCTGGCCAGGCTGCCGCCCCTCTGCCTGCTCCACCCCTTCCCCTTGGCCCCGCCCCCATCGCCCTCAACCCCGCCCCTCCCCCTGTCTGTCCCCCTGCCCCACCCCCTGCCTTTTCCCCCGCCCCTCCCCCTGCCTTTTCCCCCGCCCCTCCCCCTGCCTGTCCCCCGCCCCTCCCCCTGCCTGTCCCCTGCCCCTCCCCCTGTCTGTCCCCCGCCCCTCCCCCTGTCTGTCCCCCGCCCCTCCCCCTGCCTGTCCCCCGCCCCTCCCCCTGTCTGTCCCCCGCCCCTCCCCCTGCCTGTCCCCCCCCGCCCCTCCCCCGCCCCTCCCCTGTCTGTCCCTCCCGCCCCTCCCCCGCCCCTCCCCCGGCCTGTCCCCCGCCCCTCCCCCTGCCTGTCCCCCCGCCCCTCCCCCCTGCCTGTCCCCCCCCGCCCCTCCCCCCTGCCTGTCCCCCCGCCCCTCCCCCCTGCCTGTCCCCCCCCGCCCCTCCCCCCTGCCTGTCCCCCCGCTCCTCCCCCTGTTTGCCCCCCCCCGTTCCCGCCCCCCTGGAGCCGCCCAGAGCCTCCCACAGCGCCAGCCCCGGCCCCTCCCTGCGGCTGTGGGCGCCGGCGGAAGCGGGTGACACTCCCGCATTTGGTGTCCGTTTGTGTCCACTTTGTGTCCATTCTGTGTCCAAAGCACCAGGGGCCGCCGCTCTGAAAGGTGCTCAGAGCCACGCGGGTCCCGCCCCGCGCTGCGTCCACTGAGCTCCCGGCCTCCGGGCCCGAGGGGCCCCCGCCGGGCCGGGACCGGGCCGCCCTGGGCGGTGCTGGGGGCGAGGACGCTCCCCCTCCCCGACCTGCTTCGGTCCGCGGGGGCGGGGGCCCGGGGGCGGGAGGCGGGGGGGCCCGGGGGGCGGGGGCCTGGGGAGCGGGGGGGCGGGGGCCCCGGGGGGCGGGGGGCAGGGGGGGCGGGGGCCCGGGGGCGGGAGGCGGGGGGGCCCGGGGGGCGGGGGCCTGGGGAGCGGGGGGGCGGGGGCCCCGGGGGGCGGGGGGCAGGGGGGGCGGGGGCCCGGGGCGGGAGGCGGGGGGCCCCGGGGGGCGGGGGCCTGGGGAGCGGGGGGGCGGGGGCCCCGGGGGCCTGGGGAGCGGGGGGGCGGGGGCCCGGGGGGCGGGGGCCCGGGGCGGGAGGCGGGGGGGCCCGGGGGGCGGGGGCCTGGGGAGCGGGGGGGCGGGGGCCCCGGGGGGCGGGGGGCAGGGGGGGCGGGGGCCCGGGGGCGGGAGGCGGGGGGGCCCGGGGGGCGGAGGGCCGGGGGGCGGGGGGCGGGGGGGCCCGGGGGGCGGGGGCGGGGCCGGAGGAGGAGCGGGCGCTCCGGGCGGCTGTTCTGTCGGCGGCGCGCGCTCCCTCCGGCGGCCCCGCGGGGAGAAGCGGGGACGTTGGCGCTTCGCCCGAGGGGACCGAGGGGACCGGGCCCGGGGCCGGGGGCGCGGCTTTGGGGAAAGGCCCCCCACCTACTCCTCCCGCCCTGCCCGCGGCTCCCCGGCCCCCGAGACCGAGTCCGACCCCCAACCCCCGTCCGCAGCCCCCAGGCCCGAGGGGGCGATGCCGGCGGCACGCGGCGGGCGGTGGGGGCGCCTCCCCGAGCGGAGGGCCCGGCAGCTGCAGCGGCAAATGCAGGTGAGGGGGGTGACCCCGGAGCCTGCCCTCTGACCCCCGCCCTCCGACCCCTGCCGCCGCGCACAGGCCGGGGAGCGGTGGGGTGGGTTTGGGGGTCCTACCGAGGTAAACAGCAGTCACCAGCATGGAGTGGGGCCCACATCGTCTCCCCTAACCACTGGGCTTCCCCTGCTGCACCCGCG